TTCCGTGTACTGCTGAAAGGTGGCATCGCCGTCCATGAAGCGACCAACACGTTCCGAGTCCATTCCGTTGATCAGATCAATGAACGCATCAAAGTCCTGCAATCGTAGTTCGGGACCAATGCGCTGCTCCTCAAGCATCATGCACACTTTATTCTTCGTATCGGCCACAATACTATCCGGCACCGTGGGCGTCAGGAAGAGCTTCTTCGAAATCTTCAGATCCGTATAGAGTTTGCCCTCGATACGAGGCATTATCTGTACTGCATGAACGATCGAATCAATCAATCGCATAAGTTCACTTTGTATCTTCGAGAAGCTCGGATTGAATGTTATCGTATCCTCGTCCGCCAATATACAGGAGATTTCAAAGCCAGGATTAGATCTCTGTGCGGTAGAACAACGAAGAAAATTTATTTGCCTTAAAGCTTTTTCTTTAATTACTAATACTACTAAGCAGGGATTAGTCTTTACGCCCATCATACTAATATAGATTGTCCTAGATTCGATTTTGTTGGGTTGAAGATATGTTGCGTTAGGTAGTGTAAGGTTATGTTTAAATGAAATTAGAGATAAGTGAGGACTTTAGGAATGGCTTGTAAACCCTAAGATATAATGTAGAATGTGTAGACATTAGACTATGGAATTCTATTATAATTTCATTTCTTGGGTCATTTCTTGATTGCTTCATAAAATGCACTTTAGATTAGATGAGTTTTTAGAGAAGGTAAAGTCCGATCTTATCTTATCTTATTTCTCCTTCCTAGTGACTAGCGATTACTAACTACAATGGAGTCAGAGAAGATTAGGAACCCTATCTGTAATCTCTTTAGACACCTACGGAAATAAATAGAAGCCGGAATGTAAAAAATTCCTCGCAAGACCCTTGAAGAGTTGCTTTATTAAAATCAGTTCGTGAGACCATTTGGAGCTATCTTCCGGCCAAAGCTCCAGTGAGACTTGGCAAGCTCAGTGATTACTTATTGAAGATTACTGGACTATTCTAGTCAATTGGGTGCACTCAGATACTTACGCCAAAATCGCAAACGTAATCGGCAAAGGCTTTAAGGCTGCGTATGCAAATGTCCTCGAGCTGCTGGGTCATCAGAGCGGCTACACAGTTGAAGAAGCGCTTGACCAATGTCATGCGTCGTATATCCGGCAACTGGCCACGTTTGCTGGCCCTTAACAAGGTTGTGTGTATCTCCCCATACCAGACATCCTCCAGCATGGCTTTGCCACTCTCGATGTGAATGCCGCATAAATACTGTGTGCACGAATGCACACAGAGGAACTCAATTAAGGTATGCCCAACAAATTGAATTTTCTGTACTACTGCAACTCACGATAAAATTGAATAATGTGAAGGGCTCTTCGACCTTGCTCAGCTCCTCAATGTTGACCAAGGTTTTGTTGCTGTACTTCAAGCTCCACACTTCCAAAATGCTGGCTACACTGCGATGTATGGAAAACAATGTGGTTTTCAGGCGATTGCGATTCTCATCATAGCTGGAAATAAATTATATTGGAAAATTAATTAAAATTACCATGGAGAGGGGCAAAAAGGTTTAAAAGTTAAAATTTCTAGAGAATTATATATATATTCCCTCTGGCATATCGGTAGTGATAATGCTAATGCTTATGCTTATGCCAATGCTTATGCTAATGCTAATGCTTATGCTAATGCTAATGCTTATGCTTATGCTAATTCTAATGCTTATGCTAATGCTTATGCTAATGCTTATGCTAATGCTTATGCTAATGCTTATGCTAATGCTTATGCTAATGCTTATGCTAAGGCTAATGCTTATGCTAATGCTTATGCTAATGCTTATGGTAATGCTAATGCTTATGCTAATGCTAATGCTTATGCTAATGCTTATGCTAATGCTAATGCAAATTCTAATCGTAATGCTTATTATTCTAATGTAATAATGTAATAAGCCTAATGCGAATGCAATGGTAATAAGAAAAATAATAATTAAATTTGATTACGACAATGATAATTATAATTATGATACCAATGATAATACCCATAATAATGCCAATGGTAATGCGAATAGTAGTGAAAGCTAAAAAATTAATCTATTAAAATAATAGCTAATAATAATGCTAATAATTATAGCAATGCTAATGCAATATCTTCTGCTTGAGCCTATCGAGTTGTTAAAGTTTTTCATTGAATCATTTCTTTTCATGCAAATCTTGAGAGCTCGCAAAAACTTTTCAGTTGAGCTCCTTTTCACACGGCCCATTAGGCAGCGCATTGGTCCAAGGCGAAAACGCCTACGCCCAACTTGCCCTACATTTTAATGAAACCAAATGCTCTTGGCTATAAATTAGAAAAGCTCCAACAACTCCTCCCAGCCTCCCACCTCCCCCGCACACATATATTATCGATGGGCGACCCACTTGGGCAGCAGAACTTTTGCCCTTTGACCGCGCCACACCTCGCCCTGACCGCGTGCTCCCCTCCCCGCACACAGCACAATTTCAGCGGCAAGCTCAATTCATTTTTAAGCATATCCCTTTTACAACTTATGTCTGCCACGCCCATAGACAACCATCGTCCCACTAGAAGCTACTCCTGGCAGAAGCTTTACTGTTGCTCATCAAATGTCAAACCAATACACAGGAGAACTTAACTTTTCCTTAGCATGCCTCTTCCTCTGCACTTTGTGCTTCTTTTTTGGCTGATGCGGCTGCCATGCCGGCTCTACAAAGCAATAGCTACTCCCTAGCAGTCACGCCCCCACCCCTTTGGGGGTACCCGCTGGTTTTCCATTTCCGCAGAAGCAGCCATTGTAGTGCGGTTAAAAAGTTTTTTGGCACGACGCAAAGCGATTTCTCGCGTTTCCCATGGCTGGCAGCTCTTAATAAAGTCGCGACAACTTTTCCAAGCAGCTACTATATATCGTATATATATGCTATATATATACATAAAGATATACATATATATAAGAGACTTATTGTCAAGTTATTTTATCAAATTTAGCGCCAGAACAATTCGTTTTGAATGAAAGAGAAAGAGCGTGTGTGTGTGTGTATGTGTGATTGTCTGCATGTGTGTAATTGCATGTCAATTGCATGGCCACATAAACTCCCTTTCAATTTGGAAAACTTTTTAACGACTTTAAAGGATCTCACAATTGCCAAGCAAACGATTTACGTTTCGAGCGTTAAAAACAAATTAACAGCACAGAAAATATGGTATATACATATGTAAGTCGATGCTTTATAAGAAACCGAAATATCTTAAGCAATTGATTAAACTTATCTTTTGATACATTGATTTTTCAATTAATTATATACGATTAACTTAAATAATAATTTTTGAATGGTAAAGAGGATCACATAATAAAAATCTTGTAATTTCTGATATTGACAAAAAAATGGGAAAATGAAAAGCTCTCAGAAAATGCGTAAGCCAAAAAAATTATATACATATATCCAATTTTAATTTTAATTTTAAATTAATACAGATGGCAAAATATTGACTATAAAGAGACAAATTAGTTTAAACTTTAAAGAAGTTTTCATGATCAACAACTACAAATTATAGCATTACTAACATCTCATCATTTCACACAACCGTCGCAAATTAGTCTTTCAAGAAAATAAAGTCTAAGCTTACCGATATCGAAAATGGTTCATTAGTTTTTCAATTTCACGTCTCTCGGCCGTATCGAACTTAGGTGGGGCGCCCTCCTGAGTCAAGCGATCTAAGACCGAATGTCGCAAAACGAAATCGACAACAGCTTTCTTCATGGCAAACACATAGTCGGAGCGCACCTCGGCAATATTCTCGACGAAAGCTGAATCCCATTTCTTCAAGAGGACCGGCACCAAATTATCAATTCTGCAAAGCACGCATTGAGTATATATATTATAGGTATATTTCGAAAAGGAGGAACTTGCCTCTTCAAGGTCTTCTTGCTGATGGTGGAGACGTGAATCGTGTCGATGCCATGTTTGATGTAGTAGTAATAGCGTAAGACTTCGCGCTCGGTTTGATCGGGAAAGGAGTCTTTGTTTTCATTGCCCTCCTGATCATCGTCCATGTGCAAGATCAGCTCCACGAGCTTTGTGCGAAAATGCTCGCGCTCCTGACGCATCACCATATAATTTGAAGCAGCTTTGCTTTTGAGGTCGCTATCGTCGGGTTTTTCGGATTGCTTGCGACGTGATCGGGACTTCGCACAAGTCAAACTCTCGGGCATGTCGGATAGCATTTGGCCATCGAACAGGTGGCTGGTACATTCGGGCATATTCAGTTCGTACCACAAGCGACGTGACTTGTAATCCGCATTCGCCTTGGACTGTAGAATGCTTTGAAGCACATCTGGCTTGGGGCGGGTGTATAGCATTTTCGATTTGCTGCAGATGCGGTGCACGCCGCAAACAGACGTAAAGCTGGGTATATTCTTGTTTGGGTTTGGTTTTTCCATCTTGCTTAAGTTCTGTTTTCAAAGTTGGCGCGCAACTACAGCGACTAGGTGGCAGCTCTGGTCAAAAATATATATATTTTTATCGAGTATAAATATTTTCAGTGATGCTTTCGATTCATCGAAAGCAGCACATATGTCTGAAATGTCAAATCGATAGGTATGTCGATAAGAACTAGAAACATACAAATAAAAAGGATTTTTAAGTTAATTGATGTCAACTAAGTATTGCACAAGCATATATGTAATTCGACTTACTTTCAGTTAGTTAATTGTAAGAGCAGCGCTATCCTTGAGCTATCAAATCGATAGCAAGGCAAAAAGCCGGTGACCGCAAAACACACTAAAAAACGCCGAAAAAATTATTATAATTAAATACGGGAAACAAAGTGTTGCACAAGCAAATCAACATGCAAAGCATTCAACTTACTGGCAATTAGTTTACTAAAGTAGGCAATTGTAATATTTACAATTGTTATCAATTTCTGTGCACTGTTCTGAAGAGTCACAACCGGTGTGCGCCACCGTACCAACTTATTGAAAAGAAATGCAAATTACATTGAAATTCAAAAATTGATTAAACAAATTTTGTTGTATAGAAAAACAAAACAACAAAAATCTCCGTCGTCCCTGGCAGCAGGCCAAGCGCAACAAGTAACGTCATTTCCTATTCCGATTCAATCAACCACAACTGGTCAAGAGCTACAAATTTACAGGAAATAAAACTACAAAAAAAAAAGTAAAAATGTTGCTACAAAAAACTTTGGCACGCGCTTTTCATACCACGCGCCAGTTGTGCAGCGCAGGAGCTGGATTGGAGAAGAGCGCCCTCTCCACGCTGCGCAAAAAGACAGGGTACACGTTTGCCAACTGCAAGAAGGCGCTTGCATTGCATAACAACGATGTCACACAGGTGGGAACACACAGTTACATACATATATACAGCTTAATAGTTACTAATGCCTCTTTTTTCAGGCAGAGAAATGGCTGCACGAACAGGCTCAATCGCTGGGCTGGTCTAAGGCCACCAAATTATCGGATCGTGTCACCACACAGGGTCTAGTCGGCATTCTTGTCAGCGGCAATCGCGGTGCCATGGTCGAGCTCAACTGTGAGACGGATTTTGTGGCACGCAATGATACCTTTAAACGCTTTGTGGATCATGTATCACGCATTGTCTTGCACTACACCGATCTCACAGAGTTCGACGGCGATCTGTGGAAGGTAATGAAGTGGGCATACAGATGGGCGGCTATCAAAGAGTCACTTATAATCTTATATATTCTATATTTTAATTCAGATTACATTCATCTTCATAAATTTCCTTTACAGCTTGGCTTCGACGCGGATGCACTGAAGAACTTGGAGACGCCTCAGGGCGGATCGCTGGCCGATCATCTGGCTTTGCTGATTGGAGCGATGGGAGAGAATGCCAGCATTAGACGTGCTCTTTGCTTCAAGGTGAACAACGATTTGAGGCTAGCGGGCTATGCACATCCGGCGCCAACGAATGTCAGTACCACACAGAATATCACACAGGTGGGCAAATACGGAGCGATTGTTGCCTTCCGCTCGCAGCAGGATGTCGACGATCATGAGATCCAGAAGGGCATATGCCAGCAAATTGTGGGCATGAAACCGCTTAAGGTGGGCGAGTATGGCAAGGACCTACCTGCCGAGAATAAGGACGATGAGACATGCCTCATACATCAGGAGTATCTATTGGATGCAGACAAAACCGTTGGCGAAGTGCTCAAAGAGAATGCCATCGAGATTGTCGACTACCATCGCTTCGAGTGCGGCGAACAGACGCAGCGTGACATCAAAGAGATCATTCGTGCCCAGCAACAAAATAGCAACTGAAAACCGATCCTGAATCTGACGTAGTATTCAAATTTATTTGTACACTTGTTAAAACTTTTCAAATATGTAAATTCTGGCTAGCAAATACCGAGATTAGGAAAACAACGAAAGAAGAATACTGAAATAGAATGAACAACTAATAGGTGCCTTTTGAATTGTATGCGTCATGCTACCGCGGGGGTTGCACGAATGCGGGAAGTACGCTTCAGTGCCTCCTACTGGCCGACGTTCTCTGCCTCTGCCTCTGTCGCTGTCCACTGTCACTAGCTCTGCTTTGGACTCTTCTCCCTTCTGCTACTCCCTCGGTTTCTACTGCTCTCTACCTTTATTACTCTGGCTGTCTCTGCTACTCCCTCTTTGCCTTTGCTGCGCTCTGTTCCTCTGCCTCTGTTGTCTGCTGTCGTCTGTACCTCTATCTCTGCCCTCCATGCCGTTGGCATAGAATGGTCTGTTTATGATTCGAGTTTTGTCTGCTTGTGATAATTACCCGCACGTCACATTTGGACCCTAAAATAAGATATGCGGAAACACAGGTGGTTAGCGTAACCGAACCTTCTCTCTGCCGCTCTCTCTTCCACTCTCCTTCACTCACACGCTGAACTTTGCAATGACCCTTCCGATTGGAGTTTCAATTTGAAAGGGAAGAAAAAACGATTTTTATTGAAAACCTGTGAACCATCCAAGTAGAAACTACGTGCAAGTTAAGGCTATAATAAAAAATATATATTTTTAAATATCATAAAATTTATTATAAAATGTTTTATCCGTTGCATTTAAATTGAATATCTGTAGTAGGTGCTAATTGGTGGAGAGAACCGAGATATAAGATCAAAGATTCTAGTTTGCAGTAAACATTTTATATTACAACTGGGCTGTCATCTATCTAATATAAGCGTAAAGCCAAAATCAGTTGAAATCTTGAAAAATAGCAAGCCATGTCGACAGATTTGTCACAAGCTCATATCAAACCTTTTTGAGAAATACAAATAGTACAATTTGATGAAAAATGGATTATTTGGATCTAGACTCCTTTCGTTCCAGATATAGCGATATAACGGTCACAGCTGTGCCCGCCAAGCCACAAGCTGTGGAGGAACAAGAAACTCTACCAGATTGTTGCGATGGCGCTGAAGGAGGCGGAGCGGGAATGATGCCGGCTGATCGCGTGGAAATCTTTCCAATAAATATGCCAAGTGCGCCAAGCAATTCGATGGTAATGCAACAGCAGCACCCCCTTCAGCTGGAGGAGCAGCAGTTAAAGTTAAACCAGGAGGCTGCGGCCTATTCAAATGAATATCAACAGGTGTTGGCCAAGCTGGAGTACACGAAGTATGTGCAGGCGCAGCTGCAGCTGATGTCCAACAGCAATGGATTTGGAGAGCTTTTTTATGGCCTGCCAAGCAACCAAATCCAAGTGCCCAGCAACGAGGCCGACAACTCACCGAACAGCGGCAATATTGTGGACACCTATGACAATCTGTTGAGTGTCATTGCGGAAATGCAGAGGAATCTGGGTCCGACGGCAATTGGTTTGCGTGCTCCAAAGGAGCGTTTGTTGCGTGATATCGCACATGCACGCGTCCTGGTCAGGGAATGCATTCTAATGCTAATGCGCGACCATCGACATCAGCAGTCGCACCAGCTACCGAGCGACGAGTGACGTCACAATACGACGTGTTAATTGCCTGACTTTGTTTTCTCAGTGTGTGACATAATAAAAGAGCAAAACAGCAACAACATGCGTGAAGTTCTCAGAACTAAAACACACACATACACACGTGATATTCACTCTTGGCAGTCACACAACACTCTAACTCTAAATATTCACACTCCGCTCACTCACACATTCATGTGCAATGGTCACACTCCAACAACCAAAATAAAAAGTTCGTCCAAAGGGGTAACAAAAAATCGACGTCGGCGTCGCTGCTTTGGAGCTCTCTCACAGCGCTAAGGGTCACGAAATATCGACTTTCGTTGTCGACAGCGCTGCTTGCAGCCGCGCTTCAATTGCAGCTCTCTCACATACTCATACACTGGTCACACTCCAGCTCTGCCCAAAAGGCTCACAAAACTGAAGCGCCGACGTTGCCGTCGCCGTCGCTGCTTTGACATGCGACGAAGCCGCGCTTCAATTGAAGTTCGTGCGCTGTGTACGCGCTCAGTCATAAGCCGACCTTACGCAGGTTAAGCCATCGCTCTGACGCTCACGCATTAACAATTACTGCTTAAATTTTGTGTGATTGGTGGGGCTCTAGCTTCCGTTTACGATTCGGGTTAATTTGTTTGGAAAGTAAGCACAGGCGTGCTTTTATTTCCGCTGCACAATTTTCGCAGAAGAAAATATAAATTACACAAAAAAGAAACAAAATTATAAACAAACAGTAACAGCAGCACAAACTTTAATTGCATACATTGTGTACAAACACATTGAAACGTACGCGCGCAAAACAATCTCCCTCTCTCTTTCTTTTGGCTTCGTACACAGTCGTGTGCGTGTGTGTGCGCGCGCGCAACGGTAAATTTGCGAAAAACGAACTAGAAAAGCGGAGCAGCGACAATAAGCAGCGGCATTTGTGTTAGTTGGTGACAGACCGCAAAAGGAGTGCGAAAAAGATTAAAATTGTTTAATTTGTTGCTGATGATTGCTGTTTGGCTGTAATTGGGGAGCGACATTTAAGTCATTTTATGCTGGCGCAACATACGCAATAAACATAATAACTACAGCAATAAAAACAAACAGCTGCATTTGTCGCTTGCAACTTTTTTGTTTGCGCTCTTCATTTTGCTTTGCGGTTTTCAGTTTTGCATGACTGCAACAAAACAACAATAAGTAAAGCAATAATTGCAACAAATTAGTGCACAAAATGCCGCCGTTTAATTTCATTAAGCAGGTGAGTGTGAAAATTAACGTGTTTATTTATTGCGTCTGTTAAAACAGGCCAATTAAATTTAATTGTGCATGCAAATGCATATGTATATACATACATACGTATGTTAGTCTATGCCGAAAAGTAATTGTGAATTAACCACAAGCAGTCTGGCATCATTGAATTCTAATTGGATCGGGAGGACTTCGTCTAGCGAGCGCATAATATATCCAATTCGAAGGGCCGTTGACTTCTTATTAGAATTATAGTAACATTTTTTAAAGAAATATTTTTAGTAATATGCCTATATAAAATCAGTATTTTATAAGAGTTATTTTTTATTTTTTATTTCATATATAAATATGTGCATACATTTGTCTATATCGCGTATTTACAATGGTATTTACACTTCTTTACTTTAAAGTCAACAATTGTTGCTTGTTCTATAGAAAACTTTAACTTTTAACATCTTGGACAAACTGAAGGTTTTATTGTTTTCCAGTTAGGGACAGAAAAAAGGGTCACGACTAAGCACTCCCAAGAATGAAAAACAAAAAACAAAAACAGGCAAACAAACATTTTACAATGCGTGTGTAGAAATTGTGTTTTCTAGATCACGACTTTTCGTTTACATTTGATATTCCATTAAACTATTTCGACACCTCAAACCGGAAGGTTTTTTGACGTCGATAAGAAGGAGAAGGAGACAGCAATATATGTATAACTCTATTTAATATTGTTTCTAAAACGAAATGATTTCCCACTTGAAGCGGATAAACCAAAAAACATTTAGTTTCAATAGGTCTTCAATAGAAAATTATGTGTATTTTCATTATGTATAACTCATTTTGCAAACTGTGAGTCACCTATACAAATAGAGCAATACACACTAGTCATCCCAGAGCCTTATCTTTTAGATAACAATATCAATAACTACTTCATCGACATCATGTTTCACAGTTAATTAATTTGAATATCAGCCGCCCAGCTCGCTACTATTACAACGACTTATTAGCAATGAGACAGAGAGAGAGAGAGAGAGAGAGAGAGTGAGGTAAAGCATAGATAGAACTGTAGAACTACTCTAAATGTCGGTAGTCATATTTAACAACAGAGCAACAAACGTGTCTAATTGGCGCTACTAAAAAGCAGCAGACGACAAGCCAAAACGAGAAATGGAAATGGAATCAAACACTACGAAACGAATTTGAATACGATTACAGCTCATATATATTGGAGCGCTACGAAAATAGATTTATCTGAAATCAACAACAACAACATAAAACAAAACCAAAAAAATGCACAGCTGGAAACGGAGACGCGGCTTTTGTAATTAAGCGTGTCTGCTTCAGCTTCTGCGTTTGCTTCAGCTTCACTTGCTTACAGATGCTCCGGGAGATAGCTTCCGGTGATTAAACATTCAAAACACAGAAAGATGAAACGAGGCTGACTTGATTAAAAGAGTGCTATACTGAAGTATACCCTGCAATGAGTTCCAAAAATTCTTGTTCTTCCTCTCTTAGTCAATATTAACTATTCACAGTAGTAGGAAAATCGACAAAAATAATAATAATAATTTTGGTTGTTTTCCTAACATAAAATAAATTATAAATTTCCCTTTAAATAAAAATTAGTAAATGATCTATTATGATCTATGCATGCCATATTGTATTTGTTATATATTTGAATAAGAAATTTTGATTAATGATCTATCATTCATTTTTGTAATATTTCTACTCCTTACTTATACTCGATATAATATAAATATGTCAACCAACCTATCCAACGCCCACATACATATTCACTCGCAAGCGTTCATCACGCTCCACTTAAAAAATATGCCTAGGGTATCAGAAAACGCAAGAAGATGTAAATGGAAAGAGAATAGAACATTATAAAGGTGGGAATAATTTCTACGGATGGTCTAGCCACAGCTGGCTTCGTTGAGCTTTCTACAACTTTGATGTTTGGACAGTAGATCTTTGTCTTAAGACACGAAATGCAAATGGATTGTGTTTTAGGAGGTTAGTCCGGGGATGCGATCATATTTGGTTGTGGCTGGAGTCGGACTTGGGCTGGGCCTAATGAATTTCCAAGACCATTAAAGCAGCATTTTGCTTTAATTTCAAAGGCTTTTCTTATTTTCTTCTCTCTCCCATTTTACATTTCGTTTCTTCTACTACTGCTACTATTTTTGGTTTTTTTTCTGGGCCGTGTGATAATTAAGATGAATGACCCAAGTCCGAGAGAGTTCGAGTCCGAACTGTGGAGTCTCTGGGAGGTTTGGTTAGAAAGTTATTGCACCATAAAATTTAGACAGCCAGATAGGCTATGGAGTTCAGGTTGGCCCGATCCATATATTTGCATTTTTCCTCTCTTTTTTAAGTAACTATGGCCAGGTTAATTGCATGTTAAATAACTGTTAAATAACGGTTAGCGTACATCTGTGCAGCTGACTGTCTCTCAGTCTGTCTGTCTGCCTCACTCTCTTTGTCTGTCGGCTGTTATGGTTCAACTCAAGCAATTGTTGTTCAACTTCTTGTGCAATTGCCAGCCAGCCTGCTTGCTTGCCTAGCCTGCCTGCCTGGCTTTCTTTTATTTCGCTCTTTGTGAGCACCCACTGTAATAACTCTGAAATTATTTTGAACTCTATCTCGCTATGTCTTCGCACCCACAACCAAAGCGCTGCTTTTTTTCAGCGTGGGAAGTCAGCAGTCAACAGATCTTTTATTTCGTAAGGGCTTGACTAGCGGTAGCCATCGAGTGCAATGCACCAAAATCAATACGAATCCATATCCAAATAAGGTCTTTCTTTCGACTCTCAACTTTCAAATTATTATTATTGATTAATGTTGGCCTTTATTTATTATTTTGTATACCAATTAACAATTATATAGGCTGAACATTCATGCATTATGTTTGTTGGAGCAATGCCTTTTATAGCTGTTTGATTTCATAATTACTTTTTACAAAACAGTTTTTACAGAGCGAACTCGAATCACGCTGAATTTTAGATGACAATTAAATTTATTGTAAAAATGACAAACTTTTAATTTTTAAATTTTGTTTGTTTGTGTTTTTAACCAAATATTTACATTTTGATTATAATGTTATTTGCAAATACAGAGATAATAAGTTATAAATATAATAAAACCAAACAGAGATTTAACTAAATATTTCGAATGTCTTATTTTACAATTTAATTATTTTATTTATCTCAAGAAAATGTGTTTAATGCAATTCTTTACTGCTGTAAAATTAATTTAAAAAATAAAAATAAAAAAAATGCAAAAAAATGTAGTTAAATTATTATTATTTTTATATTTATCTCAAGTATTTAATATTATTTTTTGTAATTTTTTATTCTAAGATTCAATATTATCTTTAGCTGTAAAATCAATCTGTATGCATAAATAAAGCCACAATTCAATATTTCTAGAGTCACTCTCTAATGACATTATACGATACTATCTATCTATTTTCGAATCATCTCTTCTAATCTTAGTTGATTTCAAGTCAGCTGACATATGCCGTATGCTCCATCTTCTTATTTATCTTGAAGAGCTGAGGAACATTTTAGCCATTTGTGATGGAAACAGCTGGATAGCTGGTTATTTAGTCTAGTCTGGTCTGGCCCGAACGAGTCGAGTCTTTGGTCCGATGAAAAACGCTGGCAATTAACGTGCGGTCGCCAAAGAGAACGCTTTGTGAAATGTCTTGATATTGGAATCGGATTCAAAGACTGGGAGCGTGTGCAGCATGTTTGCCATATTTGAAGCCATCTATAGCCTGGCCGTGGCTGCGCTAATGAAAAGGCCACAGCAGAGCACACAGATCGCAATACGAAAAAAAAATAACAGAATTGAAGCAGCTGAAGATGAAGCAAATCGGGGCCAAAGCAGATGGAATACTACAAATCAAAGCGGTATCTCGCACGCCCCTCCCGCACGTTTCCGACTGAGGCAACTGCACCGTCTGCTTGCAACTGTATAAAATGCATTTAATGCGCTCCTCTGGCATTGTTTAAACTTTACGTAAATGTCGTTAATCGTTGTTTGTCTGCAGCTGGGAGCGCATATTGGCCAAACAACAACAACAAAGAAGTTTAACTAAAGCAAACAATCAAATTGTTGCACTTATTTGTTGTCTGCCTTTTGTGTTTTTGTTTTGTGAAAAGGAAAAGTCAATTGTTTGCATTTTGGCTTGACGTGTGTAATTACCATAAATTGTAAATTGCATTTTTCATCATTTTTCCGTTTTTGTTTGTTGTCTTTGTTGCTGTTAGTGTTGTTTAACTGTATGCTAAAAGTCGCACATTTCCAAATACCAACAAATACTTTGCATTTACAATTTGCTTTCATTTTTTTTTTTTTTTTGGTTCACGCCTCAACCTCAATGGTTGATTGAACTTGAATTGCAGATGGCGGAGATTTGTATTTGTGCTGTACGCCAATTCAAGTATTAGTATTTCAGAGTATAGTAGATAATATACTCAGCTGTTTTAAAAAACTACTGGAGGATTCGAGGACTCCTTACAAGTTCTCATATATCTAATTATAATTTTAAACGATTTGGTAACATTCTGCCAAGTCGATAATTATCGATCATATTATTTATTTGTCTATTTCACTAATATCAGAGGTAGGACAATGAAATATCTCTTGTTGAACAATTGACTTATTATTTATTTTAATTTAATTTATTCATTAATTTATATTGACATATTATTTTCTGAACGTGCCGTTATACATTAGAGAGTATCTTCTAGTCATTCCCACTCAACTGGAGTACTCTTGTTTATGATCTTTGTGTTTTTTGAAAGGCAACACATTGTTGCAATCGATAATAAGTTCCAGATACTTAGATACTGAGACACTTGGTTCAAGCCGATGGCACTTTATATAGGCCCCCATTAGCCTCTTAAGGCAAACTTCATAACTCATTAAAGTGCCACAGCGTAAATATTGACTTAATTGCGCCTTTAAACAACCGTATTAAATTGTTGAACAAAAATCATGAATTTAAGTTCGCTAACATTTCGAGTGCTTAAGAAAGCTGCAAGAAATATTGAGAAATAGGTATTTTGAAGTCTTTGACAATCGGTTCCCGTTAATGATTAAGGCAAATGTTTGTCACAACTCTTTATGCATACATAAATCATAAAAGTAAATGTGCCCAGCGAGGCGCAGACAATTGACAGACCATCGGGGGAAACCTGATAGATGCCAGTTACTCTAACTAATATGCATCATACGTTTACCTCTCTCTCTATGCATGATTGCATGTGGAAAATGTCAGCGGCACAGCAAGTGGCTAATACTAATGCCAAACAAGAGTTGAAGACGTTAAGACGACTGGTTGAAGTACCCTAAAGATGTTAGTTAAGCATACACAAATTACTAATGAGTAAACGTTGCTTTCCAATTGTTTTTAAAGTTCATGTTAACTTGGAAATCAGAAATTTAAATAGACCGGCTTTTCGATATACAAATATAATATTAAAGCTACTTGACAGCAACATTTAAATGCAGGTCTTGAAATAATGAAAAGTGGCTTTAAATTAAAAAAAAAAAAAAAAAAAAAAATTGAATGTGCATTTAAATTAATTAGAAAATAAATAGTACTCCCGATTATTTATAAATATTTTGTACTGATTATATAAAATATTCCAATTGTATACGATATTTGAAATAAGGAATTTCAAATGGAATTCCCAGCAAACTGGCATTTAAAACACATAAAAATTGTTGCCCAACTGCCAGGCATAGTGGTCATACCCTCATGGGCATAACAATTGCATCGACTTATAGGGTAATGACAGAATGACAACAACAACGGCAGAAATAATAACAACAATAACAGCAACTATCAACAACTATCCCTTTTCTAGCTTTGCTATATCGAGTCGCATAAGCGAATGTGAATGCGAATGGGAATACGAATGCGCGGGGCTTGAAGTGCCGTTGCCTTTTGCTAACCGCAAGCAAATGCAGCGCTGAGCTGACGCTGACGCTGACAGTGGCGCTGCGCTTTCTGCTTTTTCTCACTTTTCTCTCAGCAACGACACATAACTGATAATTTCATTCATATTCCACACGAAGTCGAAGTTGAAGTAGCCAGCGAAGACGCACACGAAGGCACACGAAGTCATCGTCGCAGTCGCAGTCGCAGTCGCAATCGGAGTCAAAGTCGGAGTCGCAAATTGAAGACGAAGTCGTTCTCTGAGTCAGAAACGCAGCAGCGCTCTGCTGGCTGGCCATAAACTTGATGGCACCGCATTTGCTGTGACCAGTCTGCATTTGTCTTTCTGGCAGCGACGACGCACGCGGCCTGCTAAGTCGCGAACCTCACTCACACTGCGCTCTCTTGGTTTCCAGCAGTAACAACAACACACGCAAGCACAAGTTGTTAACGGTTCATACGCGACTGTGAGAGTGAGAAAGGCAAACAGCGAGTTGCCTGAATTCGTTTTGCACAATCTGTGAGGCCTTTGCCTCCTAATCAACTTTACTTCACTTTTACTTGAGTTTTACTTTTCTACAAAATTTCCGTAGTCAACAGATTACCCAGATTACAGTACTAAATTTTTAAGTTATTTTACAAAAAAACATAAAAAATCACAAAAAAAAAAGCAAAACAAGCAAAAGAAACCTGTGCAAATAAAATTGATGTGCGCGATTTTCAAATATCTATCACATATGTCTCTCGTGTATGGGGACAAGGATTTCACTTTTGAGTGCCAAATCGCCGGCAATTGAAAACTAGTTCAAGGCTGCCTACCTGCTGCTGCTCTACACCAATCTTTTTCCGCCACAAGCTGTGACAGACCCAGATTGACAGAAGGAGCGAGAGATCGGGACAGGGGAGGCAGGCAGAGAAAGATACTGTCAACATGGAGCTAACGAAAGAAACGGTATTTACAATTTACAGGCTTTTTCATTACGCATACTTAGCGCTCGCATCGGGCGTATCTCTTTCATTCAATTATACACTGGACATATCTCTCTTCAAAGTCAATATCAACAACAACTTGATTTGCTTGTTTCTAGCTCTAATCAAAAGCCGACATTTACTATATGTTTTTTATCGGTGTTATTAATGTTATTGTGCTTGGATTAGGATGATCTTACTAATTGCTGAAATGCCTAAACCGCATTTAGCATGGACTCTGCAGAATATTTTGCGGCTTAGAACTTGAAAACAAAATGGGCTTTCTATTTCGCAAGAATATTTTGATGAACTTTTTTCTTTAGAATGCTCCATAGTATATTATTAAATTATTTGATCTTATAATTTAATAATAATTATATGTGTAAAGAAATATTCTATTTAACTTATAGATAAACAAAAAAAATGTTTTAGTCTAAGAAGGCGGAATATTTACAATTTTTAAAAATAAATCTATTAAGCTTAACAATGAAAATCGTTTGTTTTATATAGAAGCCATATACATCAATAATTATTTAGAATTGTGCATATTGTGTCTATATTTATAGTTTCTATATAAAAATACGATTTTCATTGCAAAAAAGATTAGTTTTATCTGATCCGTAAAGATTTAGGTACCAAATAGTGTTATATTTAGTATAATTGATATAAATTTATATAAAATCCGTTATACAAATTTTTATATGAAAATTTTACAATTTCAAAATTTTTCATTGCTAAAATTCTTCTAGTCACTTCTCTTATACATTTTCTCTTCGTTTTTTATCTCCTTCTTTATTATCATTTCGCATTTATTCAAGCAATCAGTTTAGTTCTCTCTTGTTTTTAATTTCATTAATGTTTTCATGTTTGTTTTAACTAATTGCCCTTAAGTACATATGCACAAATATATACGCAATTTATGTATATGTTTGTGAAAAAATCGCGTGAGTCTCGTGACGCTCGCTCATTAAAAACAGACAAAGTACATTGTATCATTTCTATAAAGCTACCCTATCAAGTGTGACAGAACTCAATTTTACAAGTTCTAAGCATGTGGTATGACTTCAGGCTGCTTGTTTTGGTCGTAAAACACATTTTGCATGACTTATGCAATCTCAGCATTTAGATGGATAATTCCTGTAGAGAAAAACATAATTTAATTAATAAAGCAAAGTGGTATACAAAAAATTATATTTTTATGAGGCTACACTATGTTTAAAATAATAGTTATTCATTTTAAACTTGCTGAACATTAATCTTGGCTATAATACATATAATTTATCACACAACAAAATTTATTTCATAAATACTTAAAATTAAATAAATTGTGAATTTGTTTTTTTTTTTTATAATTTCGAAAATTAACCTGAACTGAAGTATTCAAGAAAAATAGTTCAACAATATATGATATTAAATTTCAATATATACATAAATATATTATTAAAAAAATTTCTTTCTATTATTATATACAACATAGAATTTATTTCTATTTTCTATTTTGCTTTTATTTAGTTATAGTTTCACACTAATTGTTAAATATTTAAACATCTATTCAGAACAATTTGCGCATCATTTTCTTCTTGACTTTCTTAACAACTTTTAACTGTACCAAAAGTGTTTTTTTTTTTTTTTTTTGTTGTTAAGAACATTTCTTTTAGGTCAGATAATTTGTCACTAATTGCTGCCGAGCGAAAACAAAAGCTGTGAAAGTTTTCTACAAGTTGTCAAAGTGTCAAAAAGTGACTCAAAGATGTATCTTTCCCTCTATATATATGTGCATATATATTTAACTTAGATATGTATTTCTATCTCTATCTGTGTTTCTCTGATGTGCCAGTTAGTTGTCTGATGATAAATGCAGTTGAAGCTGTCAACAGTTGCGCTCCTTCATCAATCGTTGTCAGCAGCAAAAGTCACTCTTCTTCTTTCTTTTTATCAGATGCCATGGACTTGCTCCCAATATAATTAAAATGTTTAACATTTAATTTCACGAATTGTACTTACTATGTTTGCTGTTGTTTTGTTGTTGTTTTTTCCGCTCTATGAGTAATTAACAATTTCAATTATAATTGCTATTTGTGTGCTGTGATTTCTGTGTGGCAAAATGTCATCCGAGGTTTATGGTCGATGGCGTCATATCAGTGAGCCATGCCACGCCCCCACGCCCGCCCAACATAGCAGTCAGGCATAGCCTGAACTCGTTTTTGTTCGCTGCACACTAAACACACACACACACACACTCACACTCACAAAAAAAAGGTTTTTCATTTGGCTAAATATTTATACATAAATAAAGCTATTATGCAGTCAGAGTCAAAGACACGAAGTCAGATAAAGATCATTAAGCTAATGCACTATATATATATTTATTATATATATACAGATAAATTAATTGAGCTGATTGAGGAGCCGCCCAATCGTCAATATAACGGCAACCACTTTCCACACGTTCCATAAATATATAAGAAAATTAATGTTCAATAAAAAAATAATAAAAAACTTCACTAAAAAAAAAAAACAAGAAAGAATGTTAAAGTTGGGCGTAACCGACTGAAAAATACTCCTTTAGTATTCATATATAAACAATTATATATTTTATCAGATTAGATATTGTGGGAGAGGGAAGTTGAAAGAATATGCATGTACAGGTATATATAGAAAAGCTCAAAACTTAAACATTAAACTTATTCATTGAATTTTGTGCTTGATGGAGTAAGAGTTTAATGGGTAAATCGCATTAGCCCCTAGAAGACAAAGATAAATGTATGTCTATACCATATCCATATATACCAAATCTCAAATTTTTAGCACCTTAAATAATTGGATATTGCAGTCCTTTCCGTTTGGGCAAACCAATATACCCTCTTCGCACTCTTGAGCGAGTATCAAAACTTGCTGCCCGTCACTCTGGTACAATTTTCACTATCATTTGACGAGCTCTAGCCGAGGCGTACAAAGCGCAAACGCAATCGGGAAAAGCCAAAATGCAGAGCGTGCTCGTTCAGCAGGTTTTTCTTTAGCCCTAAAGCACACTTATCTGTTATTCTTTTAGTTTTTTTTTTTTTTTTTTTTTTTTTTTTTGTGCATCCTTTCCTATAGCTTTGACTTTGGCTTTGGTTGTAGTGAAGCCTGCGAGCTATGCGAAAAGTGTCTCATGTTTGGGGAAACAATTGTGAAACATTTGAAAGGTGTTTTCGTTCGGTTGGCTTTTAATAGGCTGACAAGCGTCTTTAATTACTCCATTTAAGTGTTGGAAAACACTAACAGAAAATGTGGCTTTGAAAGTTGATTAGGCCATTAAATATACATGTATTCGGGTTGAATAATAAAACTGAAACAATTAGCTGTATAATATTATTTTTGTGGAGTAGTTAGAACAGTGAGAAATAAGCTGTTTTCTTGACTATCGCCTGATCGTTAGCAAACTATCATTTGATTAATTAAACTTCAATTTAATTCTAAAACCCTCATTTTTGATTGTCTTTTTAGGAGGTGCGTCCGGACTCGATTCCGGACCTCAAAGTGGATGCCACATTTCGTAAGGTGCCCAAGAATGCGATCAGCTTTGCGATCTGGAAAATCGACGAGGATCGACTTGAGGCAGTGGCTCGACCACAGTACGGCACCTTCTACGACAATTGTGCGTACATCATCTATGCCGCGAATCTAGTGGGTCACTATGCCAGTCAAGAAACGATCGTAAATATTTCTGTCAGTTAATTGAAGACTCTATATATATTCTAACCGCTTCTGTGATCCCTTGTAGACGCGTGAACAGAAACCGAATGTGCCGCTGGAGCGCTATATACACTATTGGCTGGGCAGCCAGGTCTCCGAGCAGAATCGTTCCAATGTGGTGCACAAAATCCAAGAGCTGGACACGTATTTGGGCAATGTGGCATCGATCTATAGAGAGTCGCAGCATCATGAGAGTGCACGCTTTCTGTCCTATTTCAAGAATGGCTATGAGTGAGTTGGTTATCTATTGTCCTTTGTTGGACATATTGAAGTCTAATATACTTTTCCGCTTTTTCAGCGTGCTCTCCGGCAGTTTGTTGAATGCACCGAAGCAAACGCGTCTCTTTCAGCTCTACGGCCGCAAATGGTTGCGTGCCATTGAGCTGGCGACCGTTGACTGGACGCACTTCAATTCGGATTACATAATGGTGCTGCTAATGGACGCCATGACATTCGTCTGGATTGGACGCTCCAGTGCCGGTATCGAGCGACGCAGCGCTCTGGCCTGGGTGCAGCGACAGCAGCGCAAGGATGTGCCGCTCTGTGTCGTCGACGATGGCTACGAGCAGTCGATGAGTGTCGAGCAGAAGGAGCTCTGGAACAAGGTGTTGCCGCTGCAGCATCGCATGGTCTATCAGGCACGTCAGTCGGGCGGTGATTACGACTCCAGCAACTGCTGCGGCAACGGCATCAATGGCATCAATGGCATCAATGGCCTCAACGGCAGCAGCAAGAGCGATGCCAATGCCAACAAGTTTCGCATTTACAAGTGCAATCAGCGTGGGCGACTGCATCTGGATCAGCTAGACGTGGGCATGCCCAGCAAGGACGATCTAAGCGATGCGAACGGCGTCTATTTGCTCGATAATTTTGGGCAGAGTATTTGGCTGTGGGTGGGCGCTCAGGCGACCCAAGCGGATGCGCTCACTGCCATGGGCAATGGTCGCGCCTTTGTCAAGAAGAAGAAGTACCCGAACACTACTCTGGTGGTGCGTGTGCTAGAGGGCCGTGAGCCCGTGGAGTTTAAACGTCTTTTTGGAAACTGGCTCAGCGTTTGGCAGGATAATACGCGCGGCCACAAGCCCGTCTCGACCAAGTTTGGCAAACTGGATGCCGTCCTGCTCGGAGAGCGACCCAAGATGGCTGCCGATACGCAGCTGGTCGACGATGGACGCGGCGAGCGCATCATCTATCGCATCTGCGGCGACGAAATGGAGCAGCTACCACCGGCCAAAGCTACGGTGTTCACCACCAACGCCTCCTATGTGGTCAACTACACGGTGCAGGTGAGTGCGCAAACAGTGTTGGCGGTCGAATTAGTGATGTTCGCTGAGTCTGTGGGCTCTGCGTTCAGCTGGGGTGGAAAGAAGTTGTGGGTGGGTACGAATCGACTTGGTGGTTTATTGTTTGAAATTACAATCATGTGGAGTAGCTGATAATTGGGATTTTATTTTATTCAAGTCAATGATAGGTATACTAAGAGTGTCAAAAACTAGATGGCACTATAAAATGATCTATTGATCTATTGCTCTATTTATTATATATTCTTCCTTGTTTTGGTATTATGAAAATATTTAAAGTTTTGCATTACCTTTCTGTGAGACTTTCATATATATATACTTTTCTAACTCTCTTACATTCCCAAGGACGTCTTTCTCTCATTCCCTCACTTCTCTGCGATTTCAAATGCTTTTTCCATTAATTCTTCATATCATTTACTCCCACTTTCACGCACTCATAATCTCTTGAAATAATTCCCTTTCATTCCTCCTCTTACAAGCTTGCTATAAAAATCTCGCCTTTCTCTGCGATTTTCATTAATCTCCAGCAAAGGTCAACAACTTTGTAGCTCTGTTTAGCAATGTTTTCATAGTTTATGTGGGTGAACTGTTGCATCGGCGTGTTTTATTAGCTCGATATGCAAATGTTTGTTTGGACAATTCAAGAGGTGAATGTAGGAGGGAATCTCCCCAGTCGAGCTCGCTTCGGTTTGCCATTGTATTTTAATAGACGATGTTGCAAACGCACAATAGTGAGAAAATTTCGTTGCATATTATTAACCGAAATATTACGAACATATTTCAGTGCGCCACCGTTGTGCCCGCTGATCTGGCCTCAGTGGGCATTAAGAGCATCATCTATCAGTGGAACGGCTCCGAGGCGTCAGCCGAGACAATAGCCAAGGCCGACAGCTATGCCATGGCCAGCTTCGAGTCTCTGAAAGAGCCCGGCATGTTCGTGCAACTCTACGAGTTCGATGAGACGCCACACTTCTTGCAAATGTTCGAGGGCAAATTGATAATCATGCGCGGCCAGCGCAGCGAGCTGCTGCACTCCAATAACAACCTGAACTGGGACTTCAAGACGAACATAATGCTGGAGACGTTTCTGCTGAAGATCTATGGCGATGCCAGCTACAATGCCAAGGCAGTTGAGGAGCATCCGCTGTCCTCGATTAGTTCCAAGGATTGCTACGCCATCAAGACGAACCATGTGTGGGTCTGGTGTGGCCAGAGCAGCACGGGCGATGCTCGGGAAATGGCCAAGGCGGTGGGCGCCCTGCTCGGCGAGAGCTCCCTGGTGCTGGAGGGCAAGGAGAGCAAGGAGTTCTGGCAATCGGTGGCCATGTACTTCAACCAATCGCTGGTCATCAACGGCCAGTCGTGCTCGAGCAGCACCACCAGCAGCAGCAGCAGCGGCGCCGGCAGCATGTGCAACGGTAGCAACAATAGCAACGGCAATGGCACTGGCAACATCTCCCCGACACTGAGCAACAATTGCTATTTGAATACAACGATGCCCAGCAAACCGCGTCCGCCGGTGCAGCTCTTCCTGGTGTGGTGGGAGCAAAGACACTTGCGTTGCGAGGAGATACTCGGCTTCGAGCAGCGGGATCTCAGCGGCGACTGCACTTACATACTCGACACGGGCACCCTGGCCTATGTGTGGCTGGGCGAGCATGCGGTCAGCCAGGAGCGCGAACGCTACACGACCGTGGCGCAGAGCTATGTGCAGAATGCGCCATTCGGCAGACGCGCGGCCACGGCGCTGGCTGTGGTGCGTCAGCATGCGGAGCCGAATGTATTCAAGGGTTTCTTTGAGACCTGGGACAATGAGCTGGGCAAGGTGGAGATTGCTTAACCAAATATATGCATATATATTTATATAGATCCGACTTAAATTATGCTTCTCTTTCCCTACAGGGTTTTGTAACCTACGAGCAAATGCGTCAGAAACTGGCTACCATAGCGCCCAGCAATGGCCTCAAAGAAGGCTCTGCTCTAATCCTAAACAACAACCAAAAGGATTTCGATGGACACAAGAAGTATCCGTTGCCAGTGCTGGTGCAGGAAATGGATATGCTACCGCCCGAAATCAATCCGCTGAGACGCGAAGTTAGTCGAACTGACAATAATTATAAAAGCAATTATATAATCACTTATATTTTTTGTCATCCCCTTAGGTTCACCTCACGCATGACGATTTCGTCTCCGTCTTTAAAATGTCCTTTTATGAGTTTGATGAGCTGCCCAAATGGAAGAAGCAGGAACTAAAAAAACTCTATAAATTATTTTAAGCAATCAATTTTAAATTGTTTTTAGCACACACTCACACTTTTACACATAACCTGTAAATAGTACGTTTTAAATGGCTTTCTTTACTTATCTGGAATAGTAATAAAGCAATTTTAGGTATATTTTATCCTTCGTAGATTATATATTTAAGCACCGTGTTTTATGAATATGAATACGAAATTATATCATGCAAAACATAAAGCAACGTGTTTTGGTATCTCTTATATATACGTTTTTATATATATAGCCAGATATGTGAATATTATTAAGTCGTAGTTTCCACCTCCGACGAATCTGGCGCATCGTCATCATCATCATCAGAACCTATGGAAAGTCTGCTGGGATTACTCGATATTTAGAGAGAATTCTACTTACTGGGAAATATCAGACCCATGATGAAATCAAATATGCCGCCCAATAGATCCCAAAACATATTCTACTCGTCAGGCCTAACGTGCTGTAACTGAATCATAGCGATGCCCCATTTGGAATATTTAGTTTGTGTGCGACAGAGCTCATTTAATGAGCCGTAAAGTTAGCCCTAATCAATCACGATTATATCACAATTATATTGACCGCTGCACCCGAACTATTAGGTCAATGGCATGCTGATTCAATTCCTTCGAAAAATGAAATTATATAACAATTGCTGTTCAAAACAAATTTATTAATAGATTCCGTAGATGTCGGACATTTTTAGTTGTAATAATAATCATCATCATAGTATTCTCCAAAGTATTCCTCATCAGCTAATGTATGGAGAGAGAGAAGGAAGGAGATTCTAGATTATATATGTAGAATTTCTATATAGACATACATACATATATATACAGATCTATATAGATCATMTTGACTTACTGATATCCGAGAAAAACAGATCGTTGAGAAAGGCCACAAATATCTCCACAATGGCGCAGCAATCCATTTTGATAAAGTTTTAAAGTATTTCCATGATTTTCAACAGGGTTTTTATAGCTTGAATTTTTATATTTAGTTCTTTTTACTTGTATTTTACTTTTTTTTTTTAATAATTTAATTAATGTATATTTTTATTGTTCCGTCATCGTTGGGCTACTTTGAAACGCCTTTTTAATTGTAATCGTCGCTGTCATCCGCTAGCAAAAGTTAGTTTTATATTATTATAAAATATATAATATTTTTAACCATTTTTCTTACTGCCAAACAATATTTCGCCTATGAATTCGAATATAATGCCGATAATTTCACAATCCTCCATGTTTTGCACGCTGAGAAAAACTTGACGCAACTTAAAAGCCAAAGCGATTTGGCTTCATATAAATCCAAAACATTTAATTTTTTTTGCATTCAACCTTGAAAAATATCCATAAAAGTTGATGTGCAAAATTAATTTAATTAAAAACAATTATAGAAACAAATTGGTTGTTTAATAATCCATTGCAATAATTGCCCTTGGCGTAGTCTTAAAATTAAATTTTATTGAATTTTTTTGAGCTTTAAAAAAAAATAAAGCAAAACTAATATACATCGTAGCCGTACAACGGCGCCTCCATGAACGCCTTTTGCTGATCCATCGAATTACGCCGTATTCTACGTCCGATGGGCTCCAGATCCGCATAGCACTTGGGAAAGACACGCTCGACGGCAGCTACGGCCTGCTCATGGGTTACATTTCTCACAGCTAGCACCGAGGCCAAGGCTTTGGATTTGACACAGTTCTGGAAGATTTCATTTGATAAGGTTTAGCAAAAAAAAAATAAATAAATAAATAAATAAATAAACAAATAAAACTAACTAGTTTTATAGGTTCTAAAATCGAGACATACAGATCTAACATCCATATTAACAAACTCAATATAATCTCAATTCTTATTTGATATACCTGATGTGCTTCCTTGACATTAAAGGGCGATGCATCGCCCTGCATCATGGCGCTTAGGAAGGAACAGTGAGCCAGATTTGCGGCACGTATTTCCGTACATGCCAGATGATCCACATTGCGGAAATCCAAATCGTTATTGCAGTAGTCGAACATATGAATCATTTCGTGGGTGAGCACACCATGCACCATGCTCTTGTTTTTCGCCATATTTTGGCAGACAACAATTTGATTGAGCACGGGATCGTAGCCACCGGTTACACTGGGATCGCACACCTCGCAGGAAATGTGACGCCGCAGATCCATGGGACAGCCAGAGCTGCGAAGTGCCCCCATCATCAGCTTCACCAGTGGGCCATTCTTCACACACCAGTAGACATTCTGTTCACACTTGTAGCGATCGAGGTTCTCCTGACCCTCCATGCCGAACAGTATGCGCGACCATTTAGGCTTGAAGGTTTCGCCGCGACGTTCCGGATAGAGATCATAACCCCATTCTTTACGCTCCGTTTTGGGTTGCTCAGCGTCTGGCTTTGTGTCCGGCACGGGCTTTTCATCTGGCACTGCGGCATCTGCTGGAGTCGGATCTGTTGCCGCAGCCGCTTTGGCCCAAACTTGTGTCAGGAAACCCATAATTACTGTTATTCAAGATATTTGCTACCGAACTAAGACTGGACCAAGTTAAATAACAAACCGGCAGCTGATTGTCAGAGTTGCCAGTGCGCGCAAATTAATGTGTCCACACACGCTAAAATATGGATATCAGCATAAGTTGCCATCTGATCTACACACATACAACTAGTGTAAGCAAACAAGTAGCTACAACTACTTAAAACTGTGCGGACACATGTTTAGCATACTACAAATGACTGCAGTATATTTATTTAGTATTTGTTAGTCATCTCTATTGTATTCCATCTACAAGTTCTAGGCGAAGTGTCGAAATCCACATTCTGACGTGTGTGACCCACATTGAATAACTGCTGTGTTGCGCTGTAAGTCAGATTTGGTATTTTTGCAGCAACAGCTTGCGGCACACTTAATTGCAGACCGGCATTTACGAGTGTAAAATTTCCACGTAATTCTTTAGCAAGTGCGCGGACTCTGTTTTTAATATGCAGCAAAAATTTTTACAATTACTGTTAATAGCTTTATTTGTATATGCATTAACCGGTGTTCAAGGCATTGATGTACCACGGCCTCGCGGCGTTTCTTTAGTGAAGGCTCCGCTTTACCAACCGCAACCGGATGGAAAATGGAATTGCATCGATGGAAGCAAAACAATACCATTTACTCAGATAAATGACGATTACTGTGATTGCGCCGATGGCAGCGACGAGCCCGGCACCGCGGCTTGCTCCAATGGACAATTCCATTGCCTTAATACCGGCCATCAGTCCGTTGACATTCCTAGCTCTCAAGTGCAGGATGGAATCTGCGACTGTTGCGATGGCAGCGACGAACTGGAGGAGTCGCAATGTGAAAACACTTGCGTTGCCTTAGGTGCCGCCGCCGCCATTCAACGTCGCAACGAAGCGGAGCTACATATGAAAGGTGCCGAGAAGCGGCAGGAGATGATCAACCGGGGCAAGCAACTGAAAGCGGATCGATCAGCACGTCGTTCCGAACTGAATGCGCGCATCAAGGAGCAGGAATTACTCAAAACTGAAAAGGAGCACCTTAAGGCCACTGCCGAAGCGCTAGAAAGTGAGGCCGTGGAAGCTTTCAAGGAGCAACAACGTGAACTAGATGCGGTCACAGCGCAGGCGGAGCAAGAGCCACAGCAAATGCGACAAGAGGCGTCGCTCACATTTGTGCGCTACGATACCAACAAAGATGGCTTCGTGGAGATCACCGAGCTGATGGTGGACATGAATCTCGATCGGGATCGCAATGGAGTTGTCACTGTGGAGGAGGCCAAATATTTCTTGGACGAACGCGACCGCATGGACCTGGATGCCTTCATCACCCTGGCCTGGCCACGTATCAAGCCACTAAAAATGTTAGCTGATGGACTGTTCCAGCCACCAGTCCCCACGCCAGCGGAGGAGCGAGCGCCTCAGCAGGACAACACAAAAGATGCCGAGCAACTGGACTCGGAGCCAACTGAAGGTGAGAAAAAAATGAGATTTGAGTTTGATTGATTTTACTTAACCTTTAATTTGCAGAGCATGCGGACATGGATGTGCCCGATGAGGAAGACGGCGAGGATGAGGAACAGTACGATGATGAGGAGCCCGATGTGGGCGTTGGCGAAGCTACGCCAGATGTAGAGACAACCACAGCGGCGCCCATCTACGATCCGGAAACCCAGCGTCTGATCGAACAGGCGAACGAGGCGCGCAATGCGTACGAGGAGGTGGCTCGACAAATACGTGAAATCGAGCATGAAATCAAGGAACTGGATGAACAGGAGGGCAAAGACTATGGACCCAATGAGGAGTGGTCGGTGCTGGATGGCGAGTGCTATACCTTTGAGGATCGTGAATATGTGTACACACTGTGCCCCTTCGACCGGGTGTCGCAGAAGCCGCGTAACGGCGGAGCCGAAACCACTTTGGGTCGCTGGGATCAATGGGTAGGAGAGGGCGCCAATAAATATAGCAAACAAAAGTATGCACAAGGCGCCGCCTGCTGGAATGGACCGCAGCGCTCGGCCATTATCAATATCAAGTGTGCATTGGAGCCGCGCATCACGTCGGTTAGCGAGCCGAATCGCTGTGAATACTATTATGAATTTGAGACGCCCGCCGCTTGCGATCGTGATGCCTTCACAGCCTCTGCACAGAGCCAGCACGACGAGCTTTAAGTGAAACAATCTAGCTAAAACGTTGATTTGGAGCAAACAATCTTTGGAATGTATTCTAGTTTTAAAACAAACAACAAAGTGAAAAGAGAAAAGGAAAGAACGATAGGGAAGTTAATTGAAATGTAAAGTGATTTGCTGATCATTCCCCATAGGTGGCGCTCATCATTGTGCGAATCAGTCGTAGACAAATATTATTCAGCGTATGCATTTAAGCCAAGTAAAAAGTTTCATTTTTTAAATATACACATATACTACTACATTCGTAATTGTACAAAAGCGTTTTCATGGCTCTGTTACGGCCAGTTTCATTTCCTCCAGGTAGCCATCCACTTGGTGCTCCAGCGCCAGAATGTGTCCCGTGTTGCAGTCCTCAGCGCCAACGAATGTCAAAATCAATGGCAATTTGATCATTTGCACCACCTGTCGGAGAAGAGTTGAAACTTGATATGCTTATAACTGTTTGTATGCATGGCCATGGAGTACTTCGTACGCGACAATCTTATAATTCTTATACACTCCCTCACAAATCCCCCACCCACCTGGTAATTGGAGTACATGGAAATAATTGTTTTATTGCGCCCCAGGCCCAGTTTGCTGGCCTGATCACTGGCTGTGGTAAATGTGGGTATAAACGACGGCATCAATGCGAAGTCCACATTCTTCTCCTGGGTGTTGCTGACTCGTAGGAGTGGCACTCCATCTCGGTCCGTTATCTGTATGACGTAGAGGCCGCTGACCCTGCACCAAAATTCAATTTTTAATCAGCAAGCTAGCAATTGTTGCTAAATAGAAAACCTACTTCTGCAGCAAACCTTTGAAGTAATTCTTGATGTCATCGGACATTGCACAGTTAACAATAAAAAATATATATTGGAATTTTATCTTCTCCGCGAAACAAAACAAAAATAATAAAATTGCCTAAATCAAAATACCAAACGATAGTCAAAATACTCAACCTAATATTTGAATATTTCTGAGATAATTGAACTCAATAGTAACAAAAAAGGTAATTAAGGCATAAATAATTATTTTATGTTGATTTTATTTTTTTAATTTTAATTTTAAAACATACAAACATAAAAATATATATAATCAATCAAAGAACAATCGCCTTAAATGGGCCCCACAAAAAAATACCAATTGCGTACAAAACCAAAACAAACAAAAATTGACTAAATTAGACATAACGGCTATATAAATACTAATCCGAAGGAAAGGCAATGTACGTGTATTGTTTTATTTGTTAATGCTTAACTAGCTGATTTAATAATAATAATTGATTATTAAACACAATTTTAGGGTATCCAATGCGATGGCTGGTAGTACAACTAATACCAGAAATGATAAATCCAGTTTGGATAGTGATGACGACTACAAATCTGCCATGTCACATCTGACCATTAGCCTGCAAATACAGGAGCTCTCGAAACGTCTGCAGAACACCACCGAGGAACTGCATCAACAGGTGCGTGACAAGCATGGCGCATTGCTGCAGCAGGCAACACATGCTGGCCGTTTCGATGCAGCACTCAACTCGCTGGCCGAGGACGTGCAACGAGTTCGAGCCACAGGACATCGTCTGAAGAGCCAAGTTGATGGCCAATATCAGTTAGTGGAGAATCAGACCCAAGTGCTGGGTCGACTGCATGACGTGTCACACTTGCTGCGCTCTGCTGGCACCTTGCTCACGCTGACGGCCAAACTGAAGAACACGAAAGATGTGCTAAGGCAAGCGGAGCTGCATTTCGAGCTGGGACAGTTGATAGAAGACAAGGATCTGAAAGACATTGAGTTTATACAAGAGGAACGTGCCTATGTGCTAAGCTCTAGACAAAAGATACGCAACCTCACCCAAATGCAGCTGGTCACCGGTCTGCAGGAGCGAAACCAGACACAAGTGGTGAATGCTCTAAAGGTAATCTTATAGCTAAAGTCTGTCCAAAATTCTACATCCCTTTAAAAATCCTATGCAGATATTTATGAACTTCAACACGCTGGAGAAATCCCTTGAAAATCTACTTGCCACATTCATCGCCGACATGGAACAATCGCTGAAGGAATGCTTCGCAGGCACTGATATATCCGTGCTCAATAAAGCGGATCCCGTGCGCTCGCCCACCCATGGTAGCAGTAGTTCGAGCAAGTCTCAGGCTAGTCGAGGGCCTGGTAAGGCGCCACAGTTAACTACAACGCAAAATTTTCGCGCCAAGTTTTGGAAATCGCTGCACTGGCTGTTATACGATGAGCTCTACGAAAGCTGCACCCAGATCAAGCTGCTGAAAATGTCGTTGGAGCAAATTAATCAATTTGGCTACACCAGTGAATCATCAGACCAATGCATTCCACAACGCTTCTGGCAGCGCGTGCAGCAGCTGTTGCGCAAGTCCTTTGACGAGTGTAGCCAACATGTCAACCAGACCCTGCAGGAGGGCTTGTCCAAACTGCTCACTTCGGCACGCGGACTTGAACAGCGACTGAACAATGAATTCCAATTTGATAACGAACTCTTTGCGCCGCTAGAGGTGGGCTATGTGAGTAAATGTGCCGCCAATCTTAAAGCCTGCTTGGCTGGCGTGGATTTGCCTGGGAATGAGACCGTGGATAACTTCATAAGAGTCGCCTCCTCGGAGCTGAGCGCTGCATTGATCGATAGCCGGCTTAGCGTTGCGATAGCGAATGTTTTCGTTGCCTGCGGCAAGGAGTTGTGTACCAAACTCGAGGCACAGATCAAGCTAGGCGCCGATTCCAAGCAAATTGTGGACTTGCCCAACTTGCAGCAACAGCAGAATACGCAGCTGGCGAATGTACTGTACTACTATAAGGACTCGGTGCGCCGTATGTTAAGTGATCTCCACCTGCAGTTCGAACGGACGCCAGGTGCTGCACGTACGATCATCGCCCGCTCGTTGGATCAGGCGGATTTATTGATTGGCACCATATTGCAGCAGATTATGGAGTCGATTATCACAGCCATTAGCATCATTATCCTAAGCATGCATCGGGAGCCGGGACTCAATACGGATCGACTGTCGACAACGGGACCATCCATGTATATGAAGGAGCTACAGGTAAGTAAAATGTGTCCATAATTGAATACAACTCATATGTTTGCTCCCGCAGGAGTTTGTCACCCGGTCGTGGTCGCACCACATCGAACTCTTCGATGATAAAGAGATGACTGGTAAATGTGGCCAGGAGTTGGCTAAGCGTTGCATCGAGCTCTTTATACACAACCTGTGCATACTGCGACCATTGAGTGCCGCGGGCCGACAGCGACTGAAGCACGATTGTCAGCATATGGAACAGGCATTGAAACCTCTTTGTCCCAATTTCGCGGAACTGGGCAAACCCTCGCGTTTACTCCGCGCAATGTCTTTGCTGATTGTGCAAAGCCCTCAGGAGCTGGTGAAGCAGTCAGTGGGCGCGGATTCACTGGTACCAAGCTATGTGGTACTTCTTCTCATGTTTGGCCATGCCGGAGCTGAACTCCAGTCACCGCACACAACTGCAAATTGGTCGAATGAACGCCTGATTGAATGGCTGGATGGGCATACGGCAGAGCGCGAGAAGTTGGAGTTGATATCGGGTGCATTGCAAAGATATCGAGATAATGCCAGGCGCAAGAATATTCAACAATATGATGAGATATATCCCATGATGGTGGATTACTTTGAGCAGGCCTTAAAGGCAATAAGTGTATAATCTATTCATTGCAATCCTTAAATATGTATTTATCTAATAAAGTATTTTACTTGACTACCTAACTGTTATTTATTTTAGATATATTTTATAATAATACAATTGCGAAATTATTAATTAAATAACGCAGCAATTTCAGAATACGTTGACATATTTTCAATAGCGGCGATTTCTCATTCAAGCAGTGTTTAATATTTAAACTGCATACTCAAATATTTATCGAAGTTCCTGGCTATTCGTTACACGATATTTTTGACGATAGCTTGCTCGAACTATCGACATTGCTCATGACATTAAGTGACATCACTGGCTAGACACACCATTTTGTTTGAGAGGAAAAAATCGTGTAAAACGTTTTGCTGTGTTAAATCAGACTGTAAAAGTAATTATTAGTAATAATATAATTGTTAGGCAATAACAATGGACAACATTGAACGACTTTATAAATGTTACGAAATATTATCCGAGGCGGGTGATAAAATAACTGAGGTAAGCGCCATTAAAAAACGCGTCAAAATGAACGGCAGTTGCCAATATGCGCGTATGAGTGTGTGTGTGTACACATTTGCCAACCGCGCCGGCGCTAGTTGAGTATAATGCAAACGATTCAATTTGGATTTTTAAATATTTTCAGCATGTTGCGGAATATAAAGAGATACTACAGGCCGTAAAAGGCACATCAAAGGAAAAACGCTTGGCATCCCAATTCATTGGCAACTTTTTCAAACATTTTCCTGAACTTTCGGACACAGCAATTGATGCACAATTCGATCTATGTGAAGATGATGATACACAGGTAGGTTTACCTAACTTTTGCACTCAAATACTACAATCACTCAGCTAAAAATTGTTGCTATGGTAGCTTTGTATATTATGTATTTAACAAATATTACTGTTATGTCCTCTTTCAGATACGGCGGCAAGCTATCAAAGATTTGCCGAAGCTCTGTCAGGGCAACCCAGAGGCCACCATACGCGTGGGCGACACATTAGCCCAGCTGCTTATCTTGGACGATGCAACTGAACTGCAGCAAGTGAACAATTCTTTGCTTAGCATCATTAAATTGGATACGAAAAATGCGATAACTGGTTTATTTCAACAAATCACAACGGGCGACGAGACAACGCGTGAACGTTGCTTTAAATTTATTGCTACCAAGCTGTTGACAATGGGCCCGAATGTCGTTACTAAAGAGATTGAAGATTATATTGTGGAGGAAGTGAAGAAGGCATTGCAGGATGTGACAGCCGATGAATTTCATCTATGCATGACCATTTTGGGTGCCACCAAGCTAGGCAGTACAATAACCGGCCACGCCGAGTTGGTCAGATTAGCCACAGAACAGGCTGAACTAAACACTGTCGATGCGGATACCCTAGCTGTAGATGATGAAGTTGTAGAGCGTTTTATACAATGCGCCACAGCAGCTGCACCTTACTTTTCGGTATGAGAATGGAAACTAGTGGCAATTGATTAAATGATATCTAATATTTATTTTCTTTCTTTGTAGAAAACTATTAAATCAACACAATTCGTGGCCTATGTTTGTGACAAACTGTTGCCAATTAAGACATGGAACTTGATTGCCACTGCAGTGGCCCAGGATCAAATACAATTACGTTTGCTTAAAGTATTCGCCGAGATGATAACCTACACGGACAAGCTGGATAATGCCAACGAGCGCATTAATGCCGTCTACAATGTATTATTGGTAAATATATTATATCACAGATTAACGAAAGATTTACTAATGTTTCTTTTCTGTGCTTAATAGGAATACATGCCTTTGCCAAAACTAAGCGATGAGGATACGACCGATGTGCCGCCCTCATTTCAATTCTCGCATGCTGAATGTTTGCTTTATGCATTGCACACGCTGGGCAAGAAGCATCCAAGTAACTTAACATTTATTGAGGATGCTGAAAAGTTAAAAGACTTTCGAGCTAGATTGCAGTATCTAGCGCGTGGTACACAGGGGTAACTATCTATATATAGAAAACTCACAAAAATTGTGGTTTATCTTGTTTCATCTTACAGTTACATTAAGAAACTGGAGGAGGCGCTGAAAGGCAAATCAGCGGAGGAGCTAAAAACTGAGGAAAATCAATTGAAACAAACAGCTTTGAAGACCACATCCAATATAAACGTTTTAATACGCGATCTATTTCACTCACCGCCCATTTTCAAGCACGATATTGTTCTCTCTTGGGTTGTACCCAAAACTGTATGCATTGCCTCTAAACTGTCTTGAATATCAGATTTAAACATAAGTTTACTTGTAGAACAAGCTGGGAAAACGCCATGTACCCATCACATTTGGCGACAAGGGCACCGCAAATGGGAATCAGGAACAGGAGCAGCAGGATAAGAAAGCGCGGCCATCCAATGAACAGAAATTCTATTCACCACCATCGGGCAAATACTCTGGCAAAGTGAATTCCAACTATGGAAACAACAATCGCACGCGTCAACGAGGTGGTGGCGGTGGAGGTGGCGGAGGCAACTTTAGGAATCGACGATACAATAGATATTAGATGTACCAGATATAGCCAACAATCCACTTTTACATCCTAGTCGTTAAACAACAACAAACTGAAGAAACTACATAAAACAAACAAGAACTTAAGGAGATATTATGATTAGAGATTTGCTCTAACAGCGTTCCGCGTTTAATAAACAACTAAAAAAAAATACACAACAACAAGGCTATAGATGAAACTTCCTTCAGCTGGTGGCGGCAGCTGCTCCAGCGATCCTGGCTTTCTATTTCAGGTGAGTATCGACTATGCTTTCCATGTAACTGTCCACTTTTGATGTATTTCAGAGCCTTCAACAGATCAACAAATATAAATGCAGTACGGTTAATAATTCTCTTATTATTTATTTGCAAATTATTTTCAAACAAAAACTCAATCACTCACAGACACAAAAAAAAGAACTACAAAGATGTTTGCAAGTTTTTTTTTGGCGTTGATATTTTAAAACAATGTCTCACACGTAATTTTAATTCAATGAGTGGGAATGGCTGTGTGCTCGTTGTTTTAACATATCAGGCTGTTTCCTTTACTCTGATCTGTCCAAAATGCTAGATGTAATAATATATAAAAATAGTTTGTAAACAACTTGCAATATCTCATCCTAACCATATTTAAATAATCAAGTGAAATTAATGAAAAATAAGAAGTCCTCTTTCGCTATTTATATATATATTAAAGACATATGCAAGCACTCGTATTAACATTTTTGCAGAACAAGGTTTACAGACATAAACGAAAGAGTTTGTCAAATCCAAATCAATATCACAAGCATAATTATCATTTTTCTGTTTTTTTTTTGTTTGTTCATACGTATTATGCTCCACTATTGTACAACGTAGCCACAGCAAAAAAATAATAAATTTACAGATTTTAAATTTTAATAAATCGGAAAAATAAAGTTTCTAAAGGAAGAAAATATATGAAGCAATATTTTTTATTAGTGCTGTGAATTAAATGGAAATTAAAGTAAGTATTTATACATATTATATAAATTAATTTTGTAAAGACACCTATATAAAGTACTCTATATGAGTTTAGGTAAGCTAAACCTATATTCCTCAACGATTGGCCTGACTAAAGTATACACTGTTCTCTGGATATATGTAGCTGTTATTCGAATTATACTACGTTCTCTTTATACATAACTATAACATGCACACAAGCACCCTATGAATTTCGGTTGCTTGGGGTTTACTTTGGGTAATTAGTTATTGAGCTCCGATCAAGAATACATATAATCTTACCTGTCTGCTCCTGCCATTTACAATGGGCTCAGGGTATAAATAAATTCCGGGAAATCCCTGCATTATAGCTATTTTTGGGTATTCATTCGCAAATCAAATGTAGCAGAAATATAATGTCTTTATTTATTATTTCTAGACATATACACACGTACATGGTTTGGCCTTATCAAATCAAATAAAACTGTTGAAACTCCATTTCTACTTCTATATAATATTTCAAAGCCGCAAAATAAGCTTCAATATATGTATGTATATACGTTTTATTTGTGTTTATTATCAATTATAAATATATAATATACATATCATCTGTCTGTGGGTGTATACACATGCGTGTGTTTCTCCTTTTACTTTTAACACAATTGATTTCAGCTTAAGCCATAATAAATGTATGATGCGCTCTTTCGCTTAACACTAAATGGATGCACACGTCTAGGTGCTGGGTGGCGGCTGGTTGCCTGGTTGCTGGCCGCCAGGTGGGCCGCCAGCATTAGCGCCTCTTGTCTGATCCCGTTGCTGTTGGGCCTCAGCCACCTGAGTGGCCAGGCTCTGGAACAGCTGCAGCATATCGTTAGGCATTGGCGGCACCTGGCCAGGCGTCCCGCCGGCCGAGTTGGCTTGCCCAGCGCCTGGTCCGCCCAAGTTGAAGAGCTGCCCGATTGTATTCATGATCATAGGATTCTGTGTCATCGACTGCAAATGCTCCAGATCGATCTCAGCGCTGCCGAACAGATTGCGCAAAGTCGGATTCGACAGCATTGCATTGAGTCCGTCGCTCAGCTGCGACAGCTGGGGCGGCTGATTGCGTGCATTGCGCACCACCTCCAGATTGTTCCGGTAGTCCGCATTGTCCGGTTCCAGTTCAATGGCCTTGGCATAGGCGTGCTCGGCCTCATTGAATTTGCCCATGTTCGAATAGGCGACGCCCAGGCGACAATACGCCTTGCTATAATTGACATTGTAGAGCAAAGCGGACTTGCAATCGGTTACGGCCCGTTCGTTGTCCCCGAGGCGAATGTGAGCAGCGGCCCGGTTACAATAGAAGATTGGGTTCTTGGGGTCGAAAGCGATGGCGCGATTGTATTGCAAGAGCGCCTCATTGTATTTTCCATCTTTCATTAGGCGATTGCCTTCGTTCTTAATGGACTCGGCCAGAGCCAACGATTCGGGATTACGTTCAATGTACAGCGATTGGAAGAGCTCAAACATATCAATGTTCTTTGGATTGACAGCCAGCTGGTTGGCACTGCTCGATGCATTGGCGTCGCCAGGTGTGGTGCCACTAGCTTCGGCAGCTTCTGTTTCGCTCTGGGACACCTGTTCTGCCTCGTCCTCCCCAAGATCGAAAGCCGCTTGCAGGCATTGGATGGCCACTTCAATACTTTCGCTCTGATCCGGCGACATCACATCCACTTGCTTCTTCAGATAGTCAATGAAAGAGCGCACAAAGCTCTGCTGCACTGCGTCCGGCATTTTTGCTTTTACTTTATATTGTTTATTTTGCTACAAATTAAAATCACTTATGTGGCTCTCCGAACATGCGACTGGATTTATAAAGGCGAACCAAATGTCTAGGGCTGCTGTATTCCTAAAAAGTGGCTATAGGCGTTGCCAGACTGTCAGGGTGAATAAATGACAAGCATATTTCGCCTTATCGTTATCGAGCGCGAGAAAAACTCGTTTTTGTTGTTAGCATTGTTGTTATTGCTTTCAAAAGTTTTCGGAACAATAAGCTTCAAAGCTTTTTGGGTAGCATGCAACAAGACTTTTCAGTTAGACGCTATCTGGCCCTGCTGGCGTTGGCGTATTTAGACTCTGTGCGCGTTTGACGAACTTGTTGTTATTGTTATTGTTGTTGTCGTGGCGGAATTATTGTTGCTGTGTGTTTATAGAATAGCAAAACGCAGTGATTATTCAAAATTACTTTTGAACATATGTTGAGGCATTGCCAAAATTAGCAGTCTGCTGCCTGAGAGAGTGATTTACTTCATCACTGTGTATGAGTGTGTATGTGTTTGTGTTATTTTTTTGAAGCTTGTTTCAGTGACGTCAGGCTTCCTATTTGTATAATCCTTTGGCTGCGAGTTAGCTTGACTCATTCTGTGGCGCCACCATGGTGCGTTGGAGTGCACGTTCGCGTCGGGCGCGACAGGACCAGGTTGAGTTGCTTGCCAGCAACAACAGAATGGGCGAGGATGATAACTCCGATAACGGTAAGACCGCGAAAAATAACAGTATTTTAAACTACAAGTTGCTCTAGACAATAATAAGCACACATTATCGTTCATATTTTATATGTTCATATGCCATCCGCTCAAATCATTGCGGATATATGATATGCTGTTTACATGACCTGCCTTCTTTTCCCCCTTTAGCTGCTTTTCGCAATTCAACTGATCTTACGCACACAGATGATATATTTCTAAAGGGCCTATTGCTGAGCAATCCAACAACGCCTCACAAGGAACTTATGGTATGTATGTACATATGTACGAATGAGCGTGTATATAGTTTGTAAGTTAAATCGAGTGTGCACACACGCTCACACCTTGTTCTTTGGCGCATGACCCAGTTGCAGAATCATTTGTAGTCAAAACATCTGCGAATAAAAAAAGAAGAAAATGATGTACCGTATTTTATTTTCCACATTATTGAACATGCATACTGGCACGCAGTGCCAGACAAGAAAAATCTTTGTTTACGCCATTGATACGTGCGTGCATACACTCAGAGAAAAACGGTAACGAGAAAAACTGCCGGCTAGAAGATTATTGATAGTAATTAAAGTTGAATTTCTATGAGCATATTTAGTAAATTATAGTTTTATTCATATTATATTAGGTAACTACTGAACTATCGCTCAGCGGTATGTGATTTAAAACAGTAGTTGAGGGTGCTTGTTTTTTCTTTACTTGGGTTTCTTATTTTGTTTTATTTTTTTATTTTTTTTTATTACATCATTTCTCTTCTACTTTACGCTCGATTACATACTGCGCTCGAAAGTAAAAGGGTCAGGGATGAGAATTTGCCATACTTTCGCTCGAAACAATAACGGTACATCGCTATGCTGAGCTACAAAGCGTCAACATACTTGGTCTCTCTTTTGTTCTGCATTATAAAGTGCCAAGCACTTGATGCCACTTGTGTTCATTGTGAGCGGAGACTTTTACGATAATCATTATGGCATAGCTATTAACACAATTTCCCTCTCCCTCTCTCTTTATCTGGCACTCGCTCGCTTGTTAACACATTAAACTTGACCCCATATATTATGCGAATAAAATTATGAAAATAATTGAATAATAAAGCTGGACAATTAGTATTAATTTCTAGTGTGTAAGAAATTTGCAGTAATATACTAATAAGAAATGTTAATCAGTAAAAGCAATATTTTCTTTTTTTATGGCCTTTTGCTTTGTTATTTTTGGCAAGCCTGTTAAAAAAATAAAATCAAAACAGTCAATAAGCACACGAAATAAAATAATCAGAAGCAACATCGCGTGTCGTAAATAATTAGAATAAGCATTTTGGCATGGATGGGAGGGGATCTACGCCTCAATGGTTGTAACACTGCTGACCTGCTGTTGGGAAAGGCAGTGAAAGTAATTAGAAATTACAAGTCACGAGACTTGCTGATAAGCGAAATACCACATATGAAATGTCACTCTAAAATTCCAGTTGCCTATTAAAGCGTCGCATATAAAAAGCACGCAACAGACGACGACAGCGACGTCAACAGCAACGCCCTAAGAAAAAAGAGTGGAATCGAAGCTTTACAAACCGGTTTTAAAAATTGCTTTTCAAATAAATGCGCATGCATGTGTTAATTATGAAAAACTTTATGCTACCTGGCCGCAATAACAGCAGCAACAACGTCAACAAATGCAACAGCAACACAGTGCTTGGCCTACTAATGCAGCAGCAACCGAAATAGCAGCTGCCCAATAACAAAAGCTCAGAGAGTGGCTTCAGCTGAGTCACTGTTAACTAACAGTGCTCGTAACAGCGGCGTACAGTTGTAACGTAAATACTCAGAAACACAAAAACAAGTGTGCACCAATACTAATGCGACCTGCTAAGAGCGCAAACTAAGCTCACGTACGACTGGAGACTTAGCCCTAGAGCGCGCTCTCACTCTCATAGCATGCACACCCAACCCTGCTCAGCTGAACTTGGTTTCACTGTGAGTCAATCAGTTAGTTACGAGCTGTGCTAAGGTGAGGTTCTGTTGTTTCGTGCGTCGTGTGGCGCGTTTTTCTGTCTGTTTACTCACTGTGTACGTGTGTATGTGTATGTGTGTGCGCTTTGCTCATTTGAGCATGGCTTAAACGGGGGGCAGCGACTCAACAAACATGCAACAGTTAATTCTGAATACCCGCTCGATCGTTCGCTCTCTCGCTTGCTCTCACTTACTCACGCTCCCGACTTCGTCGCGTTCACTTCATTTTTAAAAGTCGAAGACGCTTTTAGTGTGAAGTCAAAGTTTTCCTTTAGATAAAACTGTAAATGTGATTGTTTTTTTATATGTGTGCCATTTAAATAAATGGAGCACAATTGGAACAAGTGTTTTGCCCATGTGCTACCTTGGTTACTCAGTCAATAACAAACCCAAACCCCATCAAATTCAGTTTTAGCCTGTCTAACTGGCTAACTGGTAAACGACTTCTTGCTTGATGACGTAGTCGAGCCCGCTCTCGGGTCTCTGGTGTATTGTGTAACGTCTTAACTGTGTTTTGGCATTTCCAAAATCTTGAGTGCTCACACACAGCCACGCTCACACCTCAGCACACATATAGTGAAGCTTGCTCTCCGGCTTACTCACACAGATACACACATGCACACACCTTTTGGACCGCTCTTTCTCGTTCGCTCGCGCGTTTTGGGAGTGGCTCCAAAAAAAGTGAAAAATAGAAGTAACAAAAAATAAACGAAAAGTGCTTAGTAAAATACTATAAAAACTAAATATAAACATTTACCAAATGCTATTAAATGACGCTCAAACGAGACCTGAATTGTTTACTTAATAAAAGTCACATTTTTAGGTTACATTTCTCAAAGAAACGTCATACGTTTAGCCTTCGCACGCTTAATTTCATTGTTATTTATTACATACGTATATATGTGTGTGCGTGTGTGTGTACGTGCAATTAACAGTTTTCACTAATTAGACATTACCTGTTGTCATTTTTGCGCAATTCGTTGTGTCAACAAACGCACAAAACTCTAAGGTGAAAGCCCTTTTATGTTAGCAACCAGCAAGAAGAAGCAGAACAAAACAACAACAACAAAGCTTCGTGTCAATAACAGTTGTCATTTGTATGTGTGTGCGTAACTGTTAGGGCGAGCATAGGAAGCTCCATACTACGTGGGGCTTCTTTTCAAACGGAAGAACTGAAATTCGATATGCAGCAGAMAAACTATGTGTAAATAAATAAATAATAATCGCTGCTTAGCGATAACACTAAGGTTCTGTCTGCATATAAAGATTGAAAGACTGAAGACGACTGCTTGTTGGGCCCAAAGGACTAAGAAGTACAATTGGTGGTAGAATTGTTTTTAAGTAAAATAAACCCTTATAGTGGTGATTGGATTCCGCATTCCAATAAGAATTATTTACTTCGCGCTAAGTGCTTGATTCATTTACATACAGTGAAAGCTCCACCTAACGTATATTTTTGGTTCTAGGCCTGAAGTCAGTTCTTAAGTTATTTTTTAAAATAAATATTCTAGCATATGCCAAAAATTTTCTTTACTTACGTTTCTAGAAATTGCACTTGTTCTGCCTAAATCTAAATAGTTTTTTTTTTTTTTTTCTTTATAAACTTCGTGCTTGACGACTCGGCGTAGCTTTCGTTCTCTATAGATATATAATTTTCTGCATTGCGTTTGTCAAGTAGAGAGTGAATTTTTGCTGGCTTATAAATATTGCATGTGAGTGAGTTGCTGTAGCGTGGGCGGAAACTGTGGCTCCGAGTCATAATAATAATAATAAATACAGAAATAACAAAGACACAGACTGAGAGGGCAGATTGGCTGCTGACGATGAAAGTAAATAAATTTCGCAAGACAAATGGGCCGGAAGACGAGAATTTAATGCAATTATAGCAGAAAGGGAAGTCAAGTGTGTCGAGCTAGGGTTCGGTTCTATTCTAAATTCGACCCATATTTGACGCACAAACGACCCAATTTTTGACCTAAGACTTGAAAGCAAAGAAAAACAAATATGGAACAGAGCAAAGTTCACTGGGGTTAAATGGGGGTAGGCCATAAAACAGTCCGGCCAGAGTCAGAACTGCCAAAATAATATGAAGAAGAAAAGTCACCAATTAACGGATGCGAGCGTCAATTAGGCCGAAGTAAAGTTGACTTGACCTAGGGCAGTGCGAGACGATGAGAAATGTCTGTTTCCAACGCCCCACTCAGAGCTTAATGCGACAAATTTAATTATGCGTATATGTCTATGTCTGTCCCACTCTTTTCTCCTCTCTCTCTCTGTCTATAAATTTCTAACTTACTTGACATCCAATTTTTTCCAGCTAAATCCAACCGAGCCGCAGCCCGTGCCCGCCTTTTTGCCAGCTCATCTGAACAACAAGCCGATCTGTGACGATATCATACGCAAATTCTCGCCCTCGAGACGTTTAGAGTCACGCGAACTAGCCAAGCTCTTGGCTCAACCACATTTTCGTGTAAGTATTTAAGTTGACTATATCAAGTTTCTACAGAGTTTTAGCTGGTTCTGAGAGAATTATGAAGTCAACTTTAGCTCGTCAAATAATTAGTCAATTTTCCCAGCTTTACCCTTTCCCTTCTCCCCGTCATTGTAGGCCTTGCTGCGTGCCCACGATGAGATAGGATATTTGTACGAGCAACGTTTCAAAAGTGCCGGCGGATCTATAACCAAACTCGAGGCGGCAAGTCAACGCCCCCCTGGCAACTATCTTTATACGGAAGACATACTGAACAGCAAGATGCCTGTGGAGACGATCAAAATGGTGGGACTGCGACGTGATCCCAAGCAGCCGCTAGGATTGACTGTCGAGCTGGATGAGTTCAAGCAGCTGGTGGTGGCGCGCATCCTGGCCGGCGGCGTCATCGATAAACAGGGCATGCTCCATGTGGGCGATGTCATACTGGAGGTGAATGGCACTCCGGTGCGAACGCCCGACGAGCTGCAAGTGGAGGTCTCACGGGCCAAGGAGAATCTCACGCTGAAAATAGGACCGAATGTTGATGAGGAGATCAGAAGCGGTCGCTATACGGTCAGTGGGGGTCAGGTAAAACAGAATGGCATCACAAATCTAGAATCGGGCAAGAAACTAACGGTAAGTTATAAATGTTTGTGTGCTTTTTGTTGAAGCTTTTTGTTAGCTCTTAGCAAATACTAAGCAGAGTTTGCTACTTTTTTGCATGGATTCTAAATTAATAGAAACTAAAGAGATTTTTTGACTAGCTGTGTTTATTTTTATTGCTAACTACTACAGTGATCACTCGAGAACAGGTGCAAAATGTGTCAATGCCTTATAGGATTCCAATATATTCATAATAATGATGTTTTTAATATAGATGTATGTTCTCACAATAAGCCCATAAATAAATAAATAAAATGTATATTATATAATCACAATCCGTAAGATATGGGCCCAAAGTTACTTATACTTAAAATTTCAAATTTTAATTCCGAGCGATCACTGTACCTCAATTTAATAGTGGATTTACTTGTATAAGATATTATATATGCATACATATATGCATATATTGATATATATATAGTTGAATGCATCTGATAATTATTACATATTACAATATGATAAAGTTTTTATTAGGCCAAGAAGCTAGCAAAATTCTAAAAGACCTGCATTAAAGTAAGTAAAACTTAGCTGAAGACCCCAACAAATATAAGTGCTTATGATAAATGTAAGATCTGTCGTAATAAATACATTTTGTATATCAAATTTCAATCTCTAGTGCTATATGCGCGCGCTTTTCTCATATAATCCCTCGGAGGATTCGTTGTTGCCCTGCAGGGATCTTGGTTTGCCCTTCAAGTCAGGCGATATATTGCAGGTAAGCTGCAAACTATTGCATTTAGGGATAGAGAAAAATATATTATTCTATTTTCGTCCTATAGATCATCAATGTCAAGGATCCCAATTGGTGGCAAGCAAAGAATATAACTGCCGAATCGGATAAAATTGGGCTGGTGCCCTCGCAGGAGCTCGAGGAGCGGCGCAAGGCATTTGTTGCACCCGAGGCCGACTACGTGCACAAAATTGGCATCTGTGGCACAAGGGTAGGGTGAACTAGATCTGAAATTTCCAATGACATTACTATATACGTGTATGGGCTTTGCACAGATTTCGAAGCGCAAGCGTAAGACTATGTACCGTTCCGTGGCGAACTGTGAGTTCGACAAGGCTGAGCTGCTGCTCTATGAGGAGGTAACACGCATGCCTCCGTTCCGCAGGAAAACTTTGGTGCTAATTGGCGTCTCCGGCGTGGGCAGACGCACGCTCAAGAATCGGCTGATCAACAGCGATGTGGACAAATTCGGAGCTGTCATTCCACGTGAGAGCTGACGTCTCCCTATAAATCCAATTAAAACTAATTATAAGTATTTATTGTACAACAGACACGAGTCGTCCGAAGCGCGCCTTGGAGGAGAATGGCGTTAGCTATTGGTTCATGGACCGGGAGCAAATGGAGGAGGCAATCAAACAGAATGAGTTTCTCGAATATGGCGAACACAATGGCAATCTCTATGGCACGCATTTGCAGTCGATCAGAGATGTGATCAATAGCGGCCGCATGTGCATATTGGACTGTGCGCCAAATGCATTGAAGGTATTGCACAACAGCCAGGAACTGATGCCATTCGTAATATTTATCGCCGCGCCCGGCATGGAGCAGTTGAAAACAATCTATGCGGATCGTCGTGCCACCGGCTCCAATAGAAATCTCTCTGTATGTGTATATAAATATATAGATGTTTCCGTATATCTTTGCTAGTTGTAGCTATAGCGATAATTGCTAATCTTTGAAACCTATTCCAGTTTGATCGTCAGAGCTCCATACGCTTCAGCTCGAGGCGCGCACGTACCCTCGAATCCCTCGCATCGCTCTATGAGGTAAATAGAAAGCGAGCCTACTAAGTGGAACACTCTTAATCTTTGAGTCATGTCCATAAACCTTTGCACTCACTAGGCCACCCTTGTAGCGCTCTTAGATCTCTGCTTGAACACACAAACATTGCTTAACTCATATTCCCATTATTGTCAACAGGACGACGATCTGATTTCCACTGTGGAGGAGAGCAGCTTTGTCCAGCGCAAGTATGGCAAATACTTTGACATGGTCATCGTTAATGAGGACTTCGATGAGACCTTCCGTCAGGTGGTCGAGACCCTGGAGCAGATGAGTCACGAAGAGCAATGGGTGCCCGTCAACTGGATCTACTAGAGCGCAGGGCAAATCGAGAACGAACACTTCTAATTCTATACAGTGTCTATCGAATTCCAACAAATATATTTAACATAACTCTATGTGTATGCAATATTGTATAATTTTAAAATGCCCTCCGCTTCTTTTAATATTGTTTTCCTTAAGCTTAAGTCTAATGTTATTGTATGAAACGAATTCGTCCATTTGCAAAGCTGTTTATAATTTTAATTATGTTCTTCACTGCATTTCATAAGGTATAAACGAAAGCTCCTTTGCTATTTAGCTATATATAAATTTTTTTGTATGCATATCATTTACACATACGGACTATATATAATTTAATGAATCTCTCGAGTACAACCGATTCGTATATATACATATAATTTAAAGAAGAACCAAACTCTGCCAATATATATTTTTCATTTATAGTTTTTAGTTGAAGTTTGTGCGATAATTAGCAAAATGTTGATGACAAATAAAATACGCATTTGGCTCAAAAGAAAAGTTCGACACTTTTTGACAGCTTTACCGTGTTTTTCAAAGAGAGATTTGTTTTATTGTGTAAATTGGTATGTAAAGTTTTTTTGATCTGTTTATTTAAAGATAAATGCCCAAAGACTTCTCCACGACGGCGTGAGGCTGGCGCAGATTCTCATTGTATTCAGGGAGCCCTAAGAAGTCTTGAAACGTGATTTCATCACAGCGCCCAGTCAAAACATCGTCCATTAAGTTGCTACAATATAAAATAAATATGTATTTATTAATGTAGCCTGTTAAAAATCAAATTTGACTTACCTCGACTGCAAGAAAGGCAAACGTCCAATTCGCTTTGCAGCAAATCTATCCATGCCCATTTTCAGGGGGGCACCCAGGCCTTCGCGATTACGCAGCATTTGCATATCTATATTGTATCTGTGATCGGCATAATTCAATTCCGAATCCCTCAGACGATGGACGTGTGCCAGTTGACTCAAGCAATTTGGCTCTGTGGGCAGCGTCGCCTTGCCGGATGCGTTCAGCACAGTCACGTCTGTGGGGCGCACTTTGAGCGATTGCTGGTTCTTTAGAAATAAAAGATACATCAGTTAACATATTTTTGTGGTACATTTTAGCTAATTACTAACCATTTTAAATACAAAATTTGTGTTATTCCTGGAGTTTTAGTTTACAATGACAAAACAGAATTCAGTTTGACGTGAAGTTAGCTGTGTGTGATATTTTAGTAAATTTTTAACGAAGCTAGGTGGCAACATGAAGCAGCGATAACGATAAATTATTGTTAATGTCAGTCATTTATGAGTAGAGTGTGGTAGCAAACAGCTTTTGTATACTCAAAATGCGCGCTCTTTTTTAAAAGTCATAAATTTAAATTTTAACTAAATTTAGTAGTTTTGATGTGCATTGATGAATGGAATTGCTTTTAATGGAATTAATGCGTTTGTTTCAGTGTTTGTTTTTATTATCTTTGAAATGTTGCCTTTGGAATTTTGGTTGTCAAGGCCTATATGTAGAATATTGTAATTAATTTTACTCTTAATCAACTGTCCAAAATCTCGTACCTAACACATTCGCCGCTAACTCTAATCAATTCAATAAACAAATTCTGTTGTTTTTGACGTCTTATGCTTTTTGCTTTGAATTTTGTTGTATTTGTGAAATCACCCACACCTTTTAGCGGCTTTTACGATCTACTGCTCCACAGAGCAGCAACAAGTGAGGAAAAAAATCGATTTCAGTCTTTGAGTGACAAAAATAAAAACAATATAGACAGAGTTTAATTAGTGCATGCTTACTAATAAAACTCGTTGCTTAATTTCCATAAACACAAACACAAATTGTGTTAATCAAACTCCCGCATCAAAGATCGGCACTGTCTGTTGCTGCTGCTGCTGCTCACCTCCAAACTGAACTCGAAACCGGATAGAGCCATGGGGTATGGACAGATAACCCGAAAGCTAGATAGGCCACACTTGTGTGAAGCTGCAAATATGTACCTAGACATAAATTAATTATCTCGATCATTCTTGAGATAAGCCTAAGACTCGCCAGCTGCATACAAGACGGCGCGATATGGGCCAAAAAAAAATATTGTAAATTTTTTTTGCATTCAGCTACAAATCTTTTTCACGCTTTAGCTTTATTCTGTGTGTTCGCGTCATGTGATTGAGGTGTGGGTGTTGATTTTAATTAACTATAATTAGATAAATTATAATTGTGAATATGCCAAGCGAGCATCCATAGAGCTAGTGCTCACTGTTCTGCTTTTAAATCGAATTTCATTACTGATTTTTTGCCAAACCAGAATTAAATTGAATTTGAATAAATTTGATAATTTGTAATACTTAAATGTTTCTGTAACTGTTTAAGTAAAATCTCCAAGATTCCAACTAAGTACAATACTATATACATATATCATATTCAATTCGATCTCGAAATAAAATATGAACAAGCTTCAATCTAAAACTTTGGTATTTTTTGTCGATCTTTAATTTTACCCAATATATTTTATATTTATTCTTACTGAATTAGACATTAAATTAATAAATGAATAAAATAATATACTATTAATCATATAATATGAACTTACCCATCTACAATTATTAAAAATGTTCTATTTATTTTAATTCATTTTTATTTATTTATAACTAATCAGAGAAAGGTTTCTTGTTTATTATGTTTTCTTGACTTTTTGAATTAACGCATATTTTAATTATCTTGTCCAAGTAAGAATATAGTAAGTCCCCAAATAAATATTGGTTTTGGTTCAAACCTACTCAAGAGTCTTAGCTTAATATTAACTAGTCATACCAATACCTATAGAGGGTATTATCTGCAGGGTATATATAGCCGACTGGCAACAAAAATATCAAAAGGAAATCATGCCAAAGTACCTCAAGTACCTCAACACAAATGGAAAAACAAGCTCAACGAGGCTCGCGAGCAAGTTGATTTATAATGCAGGAGATTAACAAAATCGGAAATGTCGAGACCATGAATATTTACAACCTGTCTAGATTTGATACGAATCGAAGCGAATCGATTGCTAAAAATGTTTACCATATACATATATAGAATGGACCCAAAATATTTTGACTTTTATGTGTGCGCAATGCAATGCAAAAAAGAAGAAGAGAGGGAGAGAAGCAACATAAGTTACCAAACAAGCTGCAGGCCGAGCGACCGATAAAGGAAGTGTGTGCTGCATTTTCACACCTACATGCTAAAAAAAAAAAACGGTATTCGGACAAACGGACATTGCGATTGCGGCTGTTCAGGCGCTCGCCGTCATGTTTGCATTTGTGCCAGCCGAATATTCGATATCGAAATTCGAAACACTCAACTCTTTTGGCCATGCGTAACGCATTACAAAAATTTGTTTGACTTTTGCCGACATTTTTCGGGTTAGCTACCGCATTACACATATGCAAGATGCAGTTGCAGTTGCAATTACTGGGAATTCACAACTTTTGTATGTGCGTATGTATGTCTGTATATGCAATGCACGCCATTTTGTGAGAACTTTGACATGCATTGAATAAAAAGCGAGCAAATGCCTAGTGATTTATACCCTCTTTTCTTCTGAATAGTATAAGAGTTGCAGTTGCCAGCTCGGACTGTCTGTCTGTCTGTCCGTCCGGCTGACTGACTGTCCAGCTGCCATAAAATGTACGAATGATCTTTTTAAGATCGCTCACGAACGAGGAAAAAAGTTTTATGATATGGCGGCTGACGGCTGGTGCTGTTGCTGTCTTAATTGGCACCCATAGGATTGTCAGAATCGACCCCTAGAGCTACACATACACTCCAGCATTATCCAATCAACGTAACTTCTGCTTACAGCTGCGCCATTGTCGTCGTCGTCGTCGTCGTCGTCTTCTTCTTCTTCTTCGGTGCCCATAAAAGTTTATGGCAGACCAAAAAGTAACGTTCGGTCGAAATTTGAAGTTTTTCGTTCACTTGGAAGACTCTCCGGTCAAGCTGTTTCGGTATGTCTCTATTAGCGATGACAATGGCTGAGCATGCAGCATCCATCCATCCATCCGCAATGCAAAAGATTATAAATTTGATGCCATATCGGCCATATGAATGTATATATATTTGACGTTTATGCATTTATTGCTGTGAAAAAATGTTAATTCCTTCTACACACTTTTTATGTCTGTTTGACTTTTACATTTAGTTTTTTTTTTTTTTTTTCATTCCATTTTATTTTTGTTGCCTTCTCGCCCTGCGACATAGTTGACTCTTTTGATGCGATATTTTGCCTTGGCATTGACTGGTTGCTCGTAACGAATACTATGTATTAATTGGCAGCCATCAATAAATCGAAAAGTGAACATCGTAAATCAATCGAAGCGAGAAAGCGAGATTTCGATTCATTTCCGTTAATATCTAAAGTGCGGCGTGCAGGCGTAGACAGCCTTGCTCTTAGGGTCAAAGCAAGCAGAGCTTAAATTCGTCAAAGAGACACGTCGTGCATATACATATGAATGTATGTGTATGTGAGAGCGAAAGAGACTGTAAGTAAACGTGTATGCTCCAAAAAGGGCATAGCTTATGGGAGTCGACAGGAGTTAACACTAGCGCAATGAGAAATTAGTACAGTAAAACTTAAAATGGATTAGGAGTAAAAATAGAATTTATGTAGATAATTTTTTTAATTAATGCATGTAAAAAATACATATGTATATGTATATTAAGTGGCCTGATCCCTTTATTTACATAACAAAAGGCGGCGCCCATGCAAAGCTTTAACTCGCCAAAGAAAAAAGCATTTCATGTGTGTGTCTCTGCATAGCATTCTTCTCTTACTATTCCAATTCAATTACATGCAAGACGCATACTTTACAAGCAAACAGCGACGACCATTTGGCGTGAGTGTAACAGAGCAAGCAATAGTGTCAAGCGCTTCAATGGTGTTTGAGCGAAGAAGGCGTAGGCTAAGCAAAATCAAATTGACAGCGGTAGGTGGAGCATAACAGCTGAGCCTGACGAGTTTACTGTAATTTTACTCAAATTAAAAGACTTTATTTTTTTAAATTTTATATTTTGTTTATTTCAAATAGCACATGGATTTTACATAAATTAATTCTGCAGCCATAATTTAACTAAATATTAAATGTACATGCGACGTGTGCAGACAAATGTTGATATGTGGGCAAGTTTTATAATTACTTAATACATATACATATTGTATGTATGTGTGTGTGTTTAGATATGTGCATTTTCATTTGCTGTTTTATTAACATTAAATTCAATTTAGTCTAGCAGCTAACTAACTAATTGTTATTACATTGCATTTAAGTAATAAAAGTTAAAAATGTTGTTGTGTTATATATGTACAAGTGTGTGTGTGTGTATGTTTGTGTGTAATCAAATTGCACCAAAAGAAATATTTATACATTTTTCTTTTGCATTTAACTAAATAAGTTGTGTGTGTTGTGTTTTCAAAGCAATTAGATAAGCGGGACGGCTATACAAATTGTAAACGTATATTAATATATATGTATGTATATGTATATGTATATGTTTTTCTTGTTGTTTGTTAAATTTGTTTTCTGCTTTTGCAACTTAATCACTATTTTTATATATTTGTGTCTCTGTCTTTCTTATAGGCTAAACGTTAACTTTGAACAAAAAAAAAAGAAAACAAAACATAATACATACAAAAGTTGTTTACAAAATACAACTTACATATACATTTATATATATGATATATAATTAATTGAACATAAGGTTTTCTTCAAGTGCTTATTTAATTAATATAAATTTCTCTTGTTTGCTGCCTGGCTGTGGGCGTGGCCGTTGAAGGCGTGGAGGCGTGCGTTGAACGCTGCGAATATACAATCACAAAAATTAACAACGTGCAATATTCAAAGGCGCCGCCGCCTCCTACTCCACCTCCCACCCCTTCTCCTTATCTTTATCAAGCTGTAGAAGCAGTCTAACTGCTTGCCACGCCCACTTTTCTATAACTAGAAGCTAAGCCAGCTCACTGGAACACGTTGCATAGCTGGTCTCCAGCTGTTGCTGCTGCTGTTGCTGTAGCTGCTGCTCCATTAGATAGCTGCTCCCATTCTGGTAGCCATGCACCTCATCACCTGCCTCATAATCAGGTCACATTGATAGTGTGCTCACGCCCACACCCACCGCTGCAGCGGACATCTGGCTGCTGTGCTGCAGCTGATGGGAATGGGCAGCCACCGCCAGCGAATGAGTGTGAGCGGTCAGGTGAGGATGTGAGTGCAAGCGCATTGCGGATATATTCATGGCAGCCATGGGATTCATGCTGTGCAGCGGGTGCTGCAAGTGCAGGCCCGGTTCCAGCTTGGCTTTCGCATCCAGCAGCTGACTGTACTCCGAATGCTGCATCACACCTGAATCGCTGCCCTTCTTGTTCTGCTTGCGCTCCTTGGCGCGTCGATTCTGGAACCAGATCTTCACCTGACGCTCCGACAGCGACAGCGATTGGGCCAGCTCACTCTTACGCCGTATGGTTATGTATCGCGACGTACAGTACTCCTTCTCCAGCTCGAGTCGCTGGAAGTCTGTGTAGACCACACGATATTTGTCCTTAGTACGCGTTTTGCCTACAAGGAAACAGAGAAAGATATATTCTGATTAGTTAAATTAAAAATTATATAA